CTAGTAGTAAGGCAAGGAGCCCCCAGTAGTGTCCTTGCTCCTAGAGCGCCTAGTAGCTTCTTGTTGCTAGTAGTAAGGCAAGGAGCCCCTAGTAGTGTCCTTGCTCCTAGTAGCGAGGCCAGGAGCCCCTAGTAGCTTCTTGTTGCTAGTAGTAAGGCGATGAGCCCCTAGTAGTGTCCTTGCTCCTAATAGCGATGCCAGGAGCCCCTTGTAGCTTCTTGTTCCTCGTAGTAAGGCCAGGAGCCCCCCTAGTAGGGTCCTTGCTCCTAGTAGCGATGTCAGGAGCCCCTTGTAGCTTCTTGTTCCTAGTAGTAAGGCCAGGAGGGATCCGTGTGGGTGAATCATGTGTGTTCTATCCCCGGATGTCGGTGCCGAGGTGGTGTAGATCTTCTAGGTCAGGTCACCGGAGTCGCCAGCTCTCAAGACACGAGGCAAACCATTCATATTCTTGGGGATGGTCAGGAACAAACTTCCCCCCATCCTCACCCGTATTTGCCTGTACTTATTATATATTTCTGAGATACTTACTTCCGAGACCTTCTGAGGTATCGTGGGCGGTGTGGGTATCGCTTGGTTCTTCTCAGCCAGTCACAGGCTCAGAGTTCCTTGCCAAGGCGCATGCAAATGATTCCAGCACCATGGAGCTTATCCACCATCCACTTGGGTGGAACCCCGACCGCGCACACGAAGAGCTTCACGCCTACGCCGGGGTATGTCAATTGGATGATCACCTGGTGCCTCAAATCTGCTCCATGAGGCCTGATGACATGGATCAGACCCAAGCCATGTTGGCATAGCCTTGATCTAGTCGCATGTCGCATAGTTCGACAGTCGGGCCGAGTCTCAACAGTGTTTTGGCACCTCAAAGTGTCGACCTGTACAACATCTTCTTTGTCAAGGTTCGTCCCTTCCAAAGACGCCAGTTGCAGGTCACTCAGGTTTTACAGTGGAGTTGCAGCGAAGTTGTTCAAACATGAAACCAGGCCTGGCCGTGTATGACATGGCCAGTCCGTCCACCAATCTCGACCCATCCTGTGGGAGTTTAAACCAACTCAACCCCTTGACTCTACTCCCAAGACTCCCAAGCCGTGAAATCAATAACAGGTTTTTGGCCCTTTTCCACCTGTTGGATGTTGATGGTGAAGCAATGACCCAAAAAGGGTATTAAACATATTTTAAAGATATGTACGGCGAGCATGGCCGACTCGCCCCGGCATCTCCCAAGCACGAGAAGGGTGACCAGGGCTTAGCCCTCAACCAAAAAACCAAGGCCGTATGAAACGGGTGAATGACTCTTTGAATCTCTTGTCTATCTCTTTCTCCTCCTTTTTCTTCGTTCGCTCAGAGAACCAGGTGGTCCGGAGGGGTCCTGGGATGGGTCTGGGGCCTCAAAGTATTCTCAACCTCCGGATTTGGAGATGTTCTGAGGTTGAGAAGCGGGTGGTTGAGAATATCCGATTTATGTTCACGGATGGGGCGGCCTTTTCTTCGCTTGTTCTTTCCACGGTTGGGCTGGGCGGGCGGTCGACCCAGGTGGGTTTTTTTGGGGAGCTCTTTCTGTTGCTTTCTCCGGAGGTCGGTCGACCGGGTCTCAAAGGAACGAGAAGGTCTCGGCTCTCACTTCGATCTTGTGGCCCTTCCGGAAGACTCCCAGCTGAGGTTCGAGTTCCTGCCAGGTCGTCGAGAGGCCGAGGCTCCGCCCCAAGCGAAAGAGGGGGGGTTGAAGGTGGTTGGTTTCGCCCAAGAAGGCAAGACGGGTCACATTCGCTTCAGGTTCTATGCGAGGCTTTCTGTTGAGGCAAGCAATCAAGAAATCTGGCTTGTTAGACTCTTTAAGCAAGGATGTTCTAAGGTCCCGATTGACAGCCTCATCCGCCTCAAGAGAAGATTGAACAATTACATCAATTTGCCAACCTGAAGCACAAACAACACCTGTTCCGATAGGTAAACATCCTCTTTCCCCCCAAAAACGTCAGACAACAGGACGGGCCCCCACCTCCCACAAGCGCACGGCCAGGCTTGGTGCACTATCCGGCCGCAAAGCTTGTAGCGCGCTGAGTAGGAAGGGTAGTAGCAATGCGAAGCGGCTCAAGTAGGGCCAGCCGTTGTGAAAGCCAAGCACTGACAACGCAAGGCCTCCGGGGCCAATTTCCGAACTCGGGTGCCCAACATCGTCGGAAGTCCATGGTCTCCGAACTCTGGTGGCCAAGAAGACTGAACATATTATAGGGGATCACGAGTGGATGGCATTTTTGGCTGTACACAAGTAGATGGAAATGGAGGGTTGCATTACTCTTATCCCCTATAATATCTTAATCACTGGGGTCAAGTGATACATGGAAGGGGTCAAAAGGTTAAAGGTAAAAGGATCCAGCATCGGATGACCAGAACTACGACTGGGTTGACATGAGCTCATGAGCTTATGTCAAGTGGAACAAGCAACACCCCGTGCAGCCGCCCGAACGATAGACGCTCCAGTGTCTCCACTAAACGCGAGGGAGGATCTGGCCAAGATGGGCCAAGGGACAGGAGAAGCAGCAGCATTGGAGCGCGTTGACCTGGCATTTTTCGTGAACAAAAAAGGGTCGTCGAGCGTCGAGCAGGGGCACACAGAACGTACAGAACCCCAATCGAACCCCACGTTGTGACGGAAACTGATAAGCGCTGCCCAACACAGCAAACGATCTGAAGAATGAGGGTCATGTCACCTAGCGCAGTCCTTTTGGCATCATTCTGGCTTATGGATGACTGGTCGAGGTTTCTTTGTAGATCTTTGTAGATGAATTATTCTGGAACAGCCCAAACCTGTGCTTTAAGTTCATTCTGGGAAGCATCACTTGTCCCTCGCATCCAAGATGTGAGAATATGCCTCCCATGTGGCACCTGTGGCTGCAAGTAGGGCTGTACCAAAGCAAAGGTGGCGGCCATCCCCAAGGTGATTGCCAAGGAGATCAACAAAGAGAGCTTTCTGCCATCAGCCTGAGGTCTTGATCCACAACAAAGGTGGCACAATAAGCCCAAGGGCTGGTGGGAAAGTCTTCATTGCTCAGTGATCCTTCGAATCAACAACATCAAATCACGTGTTGGATGGACAAAATATACCAGCTGCTCACCGAAAGAACATGAACCATCGACTTCAGTCACGCACACCATCATAATCCCCACGGACGCCCCACATCATGACTTATGACCATGCCACTGAGATCAGCGACACCGCCACCAACTTCAGTAGGATCTCCATCCAAAGGTTGCCGCACAAAGCCTCAGCGCTGCTTGAGCTCTGACAACTCCAGGCTCGGAAGGCCAAGGCCAAGCGCACGGCACACCAAAGGCCCCCCAAACACGGAAGATGGTTAAATAGCCATCCGGGCTATCCTACAAGTAAATCAACTATACTACCCGCAAATGACATAGGAGTTGTGGCACAAGTGAGATGGGCTATCTCACTTCCTCTCAGTATATACAACTAATACAACATTCCTCATAGATGTCGTGGCAAGTCAAACACATTCTCCCTGCACAAACCTGGCGCGCAGGCTCGGCGCTGAAACGAAACCACTATCCTCTTATCGAAGGTCGATCCTTGTAACAAGCTGGACTTGAGGATTTGCCTGTTTAGTTTCCAAGCAGCGTATTTGAGCATCATCTGCCTGGCACCAGCCAGCACTCCTTGGTATTTGGGCATTCTGCACCAAAAACACTCATGAAATTCCCTTTTCCCAGCGACTTGTGCATCCACGCTCCTTGTATAGAGGAAGAGAGCGGCAAAATCAGACAACCACCAATATAAGTTCTAGATTTTTCTTTTGATCTTCTAGAACCGCTTTTCAACAGGGCGCCTTTCCGTGAGAGTGCGACCTTTTTAAACCTTTCAGTGCCTCCGCTCAATACATGAGCCACAGGTCTCATCAACAGGGTCAGAGTGCATTCTCAACTTCCAGCCCAAAAACGATTTTCGAATGACTCGTTGCTGGTCCTGAAAATAGAGAATGCTGAAAGAGAGAAACCAAAACTCTTATAGCACTTGTCCAATCGTTTTCTTTGGGACATCGCATGACATCACCCAAAACAAATTACCACAAACACCAAGGCGAAAACGACATTCCTGCTGAACCTGCAGAGGACATGCCCCGCGCATCGCACGGGCGTTTCTCGCTCGTTCCCGAAAAAGAGCCTTCGTGTCATCCAAGGCTCGACCGCTTGGCGCCTCTTGTAAGAATGCTACTAGTAGTAATGCCCTTTGTGACTAGTAGCAAAGCCTTTGCTCAAATAACTTCGTGTTACTAGTAGTAAGGCCAGGAGCTACAAGTACTAGGAGCGTCCTTGCTCCTCGTAGCAATGCCCTTTGTTACTTACTAGTCAGTGTCATCCAAGGCTCGATCGCTGGGCGCCACCTCTTGCAAGACGCAGCGCTCCAAAATCATCTCCGAAATCGAGCGACAGCGGATTGTGGTCACCTGGAAGACGGGAGAGCGGACGGGAGGTGATATGTATCAAGAAGCAGATTTTGGGATCACCATAAGCAGGGCGGGTTAAGTGTGAAGATGAATTTCTGGTGAACACTACACACCTAAAACCTCAGCAGTGACTGGCCACTGCTAGCTGGCAGGCCAATCACACCCTATAGTGGTCCCTAAAATAGCATAAGGGTATCACATGGTATCACGGTAATTATCCTTTTTCGTCCGCCAAAGCACTTTTCAACTTGTCCAGCTGCTACTCAACTTGTACCATTTCGGCAAGCCCACATCTCCAGAGGGGGCAATAGAAAAAGCCGACTTTAAACTTCTTCTTCTCACGCGCCCAAGAGGTTGCGCAGCCGTTCGCGGGCGCTCATGGCCGGCGGACTCCGTAGAGTTCCTTTCTGGAGGTCGAACAGGCCTATGGCCAAAAGTTCTAAGCGACATGCTATGTCCTGGACAGGCCAAAGCCGACTTTAAACAACAACAACAACAACAACAACAACAACAACAACAACACCACAGGAGGCCAATGACACCAAATCATCTTCTACGCAAAACAAACATAGGCCTCCCATGCGGGCCAGCTCTCGACATGAATAGGCAGGTTGCGGGGTTGCAAGAGCTATGCTGCACAGATAGGGAAACACTGTAATAAAGGAATGCACTCGTATCAGCAAGACCTGCAAGTCGACACTGTAGGTGCCACTTCGTCCACCCGGACGATCTTCTAAGCCTAAGCACTGGACGTTTCGAGCGGGAGACCGGTCGGAGTTCTGCGCCAAAGCACGAGCTTTTTGCCCGATGGTCTCGAGTCTCGACCTTCGGTCTCGCCTGGTTCTTGATGTCCATGGGACCCACCAGACTCAGTGCCTGGGGCTCCGGAGCATCAAGCGCGGGCGACCATCGCCCGCGCGAAAAGGCAGGGGCGCCCTGAATGGGCGAGGTCTTCCTCACACACAGCGGTTTGGGGGGGGGAGAAATCACCCCAACTGGAATTGGAGTCCGACCTTCTGAAGGGGAAGGCCTTATGTGTGGCCGGCGTCACGAACACCTTCGCACTCCCAACATCTCCGCACTCCCAGCTCTTTCGCTCCGTCCGTGCTCATCTGGACTCTCCGTTCCCCAAAGGTTCGGCCCTGCCGGCCCATCCGGGCCGCCGCTCCCCCCGACCTCGAGCTCCTCCGTGCTGGAACGACCCGGGTGAAGCGACGTCACGGTCCTCGGGTCCGCGGGTCCGAGAACAGCGGAGACCGTGGACTTATACAGGACTGTCCATCCTCCTTGCTATCTGAGAGAGGACGTTGAAGTGATTGAAACAAGAACAGGGCCTAAGAAAGGGTCAGCAAGAACAGTGCCTTTTAAGCCTTTTTATATAAGTTGCTTTTGAATTGCACATACTTGTGAACAAAGCCCGCCGGAAGAACTCAACAGCTCATAATTCCAAGCACCGAACACGCCACCCAAAACGCTGTGACGATTTCACCGAGTCTTCGCAAGTCCCACCACATGTGATATGAAGCCAATCCCCCAAATCCCCACATCTCATCCACTTCCCGAGCATCAGGTGATCTCCCCTACTTGAGCTAAGCTATTCAAATGAATCGCCTTCTGCCAGGCGACACCGCACCATCCACCAGCGCGAGCTGCACCTGGCCCCGCTTCAACACTGCCACGTACGCCGACGCAAAGCTCAACAAGCGCCGTGCGGCGGCCTCCTCCTGTGATCCGCGGATTGGAAGATCGAATCGCGGGACCGAGTGAACTCGAGACTTCGAACTAAATCTACCAGGACCATCCGACCATCGGGGTGGACACTGGCGACGAATTACCCCACACTACCTAGCTTGGCTTCCAGACAGGGCACCCCTTGGATGGTCCAGGTATAGCTGTATATATGGTTAAGATCCTCCTCCGGAAGTGGTGAGTCAACATGGAAGGACTCGCCCCAATCCAATAGGATTTTGGTGACTCAAAGTCTCACTCTGCTGCCTGCCAAGCTTCACGCACAACGCAGCGAAGCTTCACATTTGAAAGATCGGTGAGTTGGTAAGTGGGGCACGTGCATGATGGTAAATGAGCAGAGTATGGTATAGGTGGCAGCTCATATATACGTTCAAGGCTATACAGTAGTTGCTTGACCTTGTTTCTTTCAACTTCTGTCTTCATGTTCTCACTTCTTCTCATTCCCCGTCATCCACCCAGAAAGCTGCAGAAGCACTCATTTTCTCTCTCTCTCTCTCTCCCTCTCCTCCAAAGGCTGTACGGAGCCACGGACCTCGTGAAGGTGCAAGGTCATGACCTCCTCCGATTCGATGCGCGACGAGGCCAAGACCGTTCGGCTGGGCTGCAAGAGCACCTGCTGCCGTACCTGGGCTGTGGAGCAGGGTGAGCAGCTCACGAGAGTGGCCGTGGTGCGCCTCTTTTTGGGAGAACGGGGCCGGAAAGAACCTTGGAGCCGGTCCGGCAGGAAGGTTGGAAGGTCCGTTGTTGAGAGTACCAGTTGGTTGGCAGAGTTCCTCATTGCCCAAGCGCGGCGATCGCGGTGGGGGCATCCAAGGGGCATAGAGGTAGAGCAAGCAGCTGGGGATGATGATGCCGTAGCAAAAGCGGCAAAAGTAGCCCACGGCATCCACCTCATGGACGGGCAAAAACATTGGCGATCCTCACCAGTTCTGCTTATAGACCGGTCACCATGTTGGATGAACAATACTGTATGCCAATATCCCAAGAATCCCCGCGGCTTAGACATGGACATGGAATGCTACTTACAACGAAAAACCGCGGCCATCCGAACTCTTCAGACCAATTCTAGCTGCAGAACTATTGATAGGTTACTTACTTGTAGCCTGCTACAGTAGAGTATATAGCATAGACATGTATTTAGCACATTCTACCACTTGTCGGCCAAATTGAGTTGATAGGTGAGAACAAGCTTTCACAAACCTTGCCACATTACCTACCATAGACACATGCTTCAAGTCATTACATCCCATGACACCCACAATGCACCACCACTAAATAGATAGAGTCTTGAAAGCATGTAATATGTCTATATAACCTTTCAACTGTCCTAGCCAGGAGCTTCAAACAGGTGGGTAGTGGTGCTTGTGATCCACTAATCTAAGATGAAACACCACCCTTTTGGAACTGACAAAAAACACATCTCGAATCATCTCGATCATTCTCGATCTCCCTTATGGTCTGACTTTGGGATCCCCACCAAATGGTGTCCCTTCTTCCTCTGGGCAGCCCCGGCGTAACGCTTCAGCTCTGTTTCGGGCTGTCGAAAGCACCAAAGGTAGGGCATTCGCTTACGAAACACGAAGGTGTCCGGAAGGGGGTCGTCACCTGCCACGTCCGATGCCACGTCCGTCCGATCTTTTGTCACATGTCGATTCATTCTGGATGCTTTCTTGGAAGTTTGTTAGTGGATTCTGGGTGACATGGGATGACATGGGTGTGTACTTTTTAAACTGTAGTCGGGCCGGGAAGTTTGAATAGGTGGTATGGTTCGAGGGCATGATTCGGTGTATGATTCAGGGGTATGATTCGAGCGTATGATTCGCAGAATTGAAGTTGTACTGTTGGATTGGCAGGACTCCCAGCATAGGCCCACCTACTTCTACGCCGTGAGGCAGTAGGCAAGCAGTATCTGTTGGTTGCTGGGCAGACTAGGCAAATGCACTCTTCTTCCAACGACCCCAAGGTGCACCAAAGGCACGGCCCTTTTGAATACAGTGCACGCCAGTGGCGCTCTGCAGGCCCCGCCAAAACCACCAGGATGTGGAAGGGTGGGAGACTGTGTGGAGGTGCGTGATTCGGATATGAATCGGGTGTGATTCGTATGGCGATTCTGCAAAAGAAGGCGGTCCTTCGGCTCTTCTTCCCAAGGGAGAGAGAGCACATGGGAACATTGGTGCCGTGGGATGTGAACCTTTGCAAACGTCGAACCGGACATCAGTCCATCTCGTGTTGGTCCATCTATCATATCCTTGGGGACGTTCAGCCTGTTCGGGCAGCCTTCTTGAAGCAATTTGCTTGGATCCTGAAACAAGAGACATGCATCATCGTAGGTGGGAGAAAGAACTGGTCTCAAGCGGCAAAGCAACTTTACAAAGGTGAACAGCAACATCATCTGTACTCTCTCCCTTTTCACCATTCCTTTCTGAGTTCGAATCAACTCGATCATCCCATTCAACAGCCATTTAAAAACCACACATACACACATCATATGGAGTACCTTTTATATATACATTTTTTTTCAATGGTTCGTTCCTGTTCTCTATATGTTCACCTCTCCCCGATGCGTAGAGCGGCCTCCCAAAACACCCGATCGACGCCATCGCCATCGGAGAGGCCTCCGTCGGTGCCTTGGCAGCTCATGAGGTCAGCGGAGCTGGCGCAGCCACCGATGTAGAAGAGCCTGGGAGCCCCGACCGCGGGCTGGGGGCGATGCCACCGGTTCTCTTCAGAAAAGCAAAAAAACACATGGATCCAGGATCTTTCATGCAAAGGTGACTGCTTACTGACTCGTCCGTTGCCTTTGTTCTTGCACGGCATACTCCACTTCAAACCCACCAACGACCTGTGCAACGCTGGCAACTCGACCGACATCTTCATTCCGCCCCGTGGCTCGACACGACCAGACTCGAAACGCCCCGACGTCCAACCACCCGTCACGGCCCGACGGGTGGTTAAACGTCCGACCATCTGGGTGTGGCTTCCAGCCACCCAGCTGCACTGCTGAATTAGGGAAAACACATGGGGCACCCAAATGGTCGGATGGTCCTGGGATATTAGACTGCTTGATTCTCTGTAGTTTTCCACCATCTCCTACTGCCCTTGAATAAACCCATCTGGTTTTTCAGAACACCCAGCACTGCCCAGCCACGTGATCGCTTTGAGGGCTGCATTGATGCCTGTCACTGAGTACAAGAGGGGGTGGATGGATGGCTCCGGCGAGGTTACGAGATCCAACATGTGGAACAAGAGAGGCACATGGGGTGGGCAACAAACAGAAGATTGGACTACATCATCTGTAGCTTACCTGGACCCTCCTGTCGGGGTGTCCAATGGACTACCCCACACTACCTATAGGGGTGTCCTACACATGTTGTTTTTAATCTGTTCACTTCATCCTATACTGTGCTCAGGGCCCTTGGTGCGTCGATGCTTAAGGCTTCATTGTGTGAATAAAGGACAAAACGAGTTCAGACTCCCAAGTGCTTCGCCTGCTCCACGCTGCGTTTCCAGCGCCAAGCAGCACAACAAAATGGCCAAGGGCACCAACGGCGCCAGCAAGTCACTCCAGAATCGAACTGTTTGGCCATCGTAGTTGCCTCATCTGTTTCTAATCCTGACAACCAGCATGGGCAGGTGGGAAAAGGCAGTTTCAAGGTTCACTTTGTAATTTTGACACTTGTATGCAAGTCGATCATATCACAAAACCAGAGGCGCTGCAACTGCAACCGTTCACCTGATGAAACCCACGCTCGATTTCGGGCCAAAGGCTAGGGGAATTGAATTGATAATCACTACATTAGCCACAATGGAATTCTAATCCCGATTGAACGGATAGGGAATTGAATTTGAACATTGAATTGAATTGAATTGATATAATTGAGATAATAATTAGAATGACTGCATTACTTTCTGAATTGAACGATATATATTAATAATTTAATCATAATCATATTTATCTCGCAGCAGCCAGTCGAGATTTCCTAACCTAGGCGCATGTATCTAATTTGTCTCCCATACAAACTCTTCCTCAGAAAAAGCGGTATCATGCTGTATCTTTTGGTATCTAATTTGTCTCCCATACAAACTCTTCCTCAGAAAATGCTGTATCATGCTGTATCTTTTGACCTATATGTGCTATGGCCTAGTCCCTCCCCGATCAACCACACAAATACACAGGTCCCACAATGTTTGAGAATTATATACTCAACCTTCATCAGGTGGCAAGCGATCAACTAAAATACAGCTGCACAACTTGCCCGTAAAAAATGAAAAATACACACACATAAACACACCAGCTCCTCATAAGCGGCTTCTCCCCTTCTGACACCTGTCTTCCACTTCGTCCAACACCTGAGCCTCTTGTTCATTGCCGTGAAACCACCGTCGCGTCGCTGCCCATGGCTGCTCCGGCCAAGCTTGACGAAAACATCGAAATGCCAAGCGACATTCCAAGTTCAAGGTACCCTTGAGATTCTCCACCGAAAACAGCAGCGCCTCAACGTAAGGCACTTCCCAAAAGCTCGACTTCTCAGTGTTCTTCTCAGTCTCCAAGTCAGATGTAGACGTAGCCGAAACTCCTGTGGAAGAAAATGTGTCGAGAAAAGACACCGCATTCGATGCAAACACATGCGGATGCGGCAACTTGCCAGCATTTGGTACACCAAAGGCATCGCATTAAAATCCACATTCACAAACAAATCCAGTCTGCACTCTGCACTTGGTTAAACATAACCATTGGATGCACCTTAGGCAGCAGTGCGTATTTTGGTCAATCGTCCTAGCACAGCCCATAGCTGACACATCTGCAGCAAAATGGGTGCTTGGGCTGCGACCTCTCCGCCGTCGTCGATGTCTTCGGCCCAAAGAACTTGCACACTCTGACATGGAAGTGGAAGTGGAGTTCACACCCCCCTGGTTCGTAAAGGACAGTCGTCTGTCTTCGGAATCCATTTCTTCCACCTCCATGTGAGTGAATCAGAGTGTAATCTGGCCCTGAAAACAAGATCTCCATGCCAAACCGTCAAGAAGAATGCTCCACAAAGCGGATGAAATGGCATTGGATCAAAGGGATACTGACCGGTTAACTTACACCCGAGAGTATCTGTTTTGGGTTGTTCGCGGCAAATGGTGGACTGGTCGGGCGAACATGGTGGGTCACGACCCCCAAATTGCCTACCATAGACTGCCTGACATCCTAACATCCACAGACGTACCTAGACCTGAGGCGCCTAAGACATCTAATTACCTTGCCTAACATCCATAGACCTACCATAGACTGCCTGAGGCGCCCACCTGCTCCTTGAGCGCCTCCATGCGGCCCCTTCGCTGCGGTGGCACCACCGCTGCGCCGATGCGACGCCTCCACAGCCAAGCTCCAGCAGCCAAAGACACAAGGAGTGCCAAAGCCAAGGAGATGAAGATGGTGTTTTTCCAAGCCTGCCAGTGTTTATTATTTTGTTTGAGCTTTTCTGGACATTTTATAGAGGGCTTTGCTGAACATCACTTGAGAAAACACACATGACCATTTCCCAGCTTACACAATTACATGGATTGCTATGCTTTATGATTGCTATGCTTTATCCTTTATCCTTTGTCTATTCATTCGTATATTTGAATACTCTATTACTCTATTGCATCGTTGCAGGCAAACATGGCCTTTCCTTCGTATTTACCGCTCAAGTGTAACACGCACATTCTACCACCAATGTTGTGCACACACCGCGCCCATGACAAATAAGAAGGCTCATGACTGGGTGTTCGTTTTGAATCTCGTTTCGTTTTTGTTCAGTGTAGCCAGTGTAGCCCACTGACCTGACCCGTCTTTGACATCCAAACAGGCCTCCACCCAGGTGCGCATGTAGTATAAAAAAGAAACCCCGAAAGCTGCTGCAGAATGGCATATGTTCAAAGCATCAAACTGTCAACAGTGGATATCAGTGGTTTGACTCCTTGTCGTGTTGCAACAAATGAATGGGGCGTGTGTACAGCAAACACACACACACACACGTCACACATGCAAATTATAGTTGAGGCTGCGTTGTACGAGTATACTTGTCAACTTTGAACTTTGCTCAAAACTACGAGTCTTGCAATGTAGAAGCAAGAACAGTTAGATCTGAATACAATTGATCTAGTAGTGATTCTTGAGAAGGCTCTGAGGGATGATGACGGCCCAAAGGACTCAGAAGGTCTAAGACACCAACAGTGTTGCAGAAATGATTGCCAAGCTGGCCAAACAGCTCGTTTGCTTGTTGATTTTTTGGCCTCTGGAATCCAGCTTGGTGGGCAGGGTTTGCAGAGCGTCTTGCTGGCGTAATACTTGGCATCGCAGGTGCTGCAAAGGATGCCAACATAGCCTTAGTCGTGGGCTGTGACATACTTCAGCATGATCTGGAGTCCAATTGTCTGGACAATTAAGACAATTAAGTCCAACATTTTGTTGGCAGGATGTCCCTCTGGTATGGAGACTCCCTCAAACTACATGACTTTTCAGCCAGATTCACCGTACTCCATTCTAATCCTTGAGTATATAGACAGACTTTGCACAACTCAATGGTCATGTGTTGGAAGCTCTACCAGTACAAGCATGCGTTTTTGAACGCCCCAGATTTCCAGAATGTTCATCTGTCTTCTTTCATCATGGTCCAACATCTTTCTATGTTGCACCAACCAGGTCCAAAGATCACCTCAACCAACTCCCCCAGCTCTCCCAGCCCGAACTCTTCCTAGCTCCCCAGCTCTCCCCGCCGCTCCCCCCACTCATCGCCCAGGCTCCATCGCTGCATTCCGGATGCTCCGAGCCGCTCACGGCCGCCGACGCGTTGCACCGTGTCTTGCGGGGCGGAAGACATTTGTAGGCCTGGTGGTCCTCCATTCCGGATGCCGCGCGCCGCGGGCGGATAGGTCCGGCATGGAAAAAGCCGTAAAGCAGCGTTACGGAAACGAAGGCACCTTGATCCACTGAGGCCACTGAGGCCGTCAAGTTGTTGATTTTATATATGTGTTAAACAACTTCAATATATATGTTAATCTATTTTTTCTAAGGCTTCTTGGTCAGTGAGGTTGGACCGGAGGCAGTTGGCATTTGGTCCGATGTGGGGAGCATCCCCAGCAAGCATTCTCACTTGCGTCTCAGAATAGGCCCCAGAACTGGCCCCAGAACCTGCTTCTAGGATAGCTCCGAAGATAGGCCTATCCCTTGGGATAGGCCCTCTCCTGCTTGCAGAAGGGTTTGGGACGATAGCCGATAGACCTCATGAATATGCCTGTAGATGAGAAATCTGTGTGCCCTTAAGCTCAACTGGATATAACACTTCTGTCTGTGGAATGTCATCAGGTATATTTACGTCTTCGTGTGTTTTTCCTATCCCAGTGGTGCAGGAATCAATAGGAATCCTATTGACATCCTATAATGTCCTATGTATAGACCCCCAAATAGATAGAGAAAAGTAGATCTCCACAAAAAAAGTATCGGAAAACGTGTCTATCATGTTCTATCTATTTGGGGGACCACCGCCCTTAACATTCTCTTCATCAACACCGCCCTGGAAAAAGCCTTCTCTCTCTGGAAGCCCCTTTCTTTTGTCTCCCGTCCTTCTCCTTCAGGCGTGCGTAGCCGCGCCGCGGCTCAGCGGTTTCCACTCGGTTTCCAGGGCTGGAGCAGTACCTGGGACCAGTGGACCCAGCAGGTGATGGGGGGCCCTGAGGCCCTGCTCATTGTGAACGGTGCAGTCACTGCAATCCTTCCCCCGACATCACTCGAAGTGGGGAGCACCAGAGCTCGCGTTCAATCTTTTTGAGCGACGTATTGACCATGCTGACATCGCCAAGCCACCTTCCCTGGAAAAAAAACTGTTAACCTTTCCACCGCCTCTTCTTTGTTTCGTGAGGAAACCGCTCAAACATCGGTCGGGCAGGGACTTCCACGTACGTCCTGGGTAGAAATGGTTTCCCCCACAAACCCATTCCATAAGCAAGACACGCATCTCCATTTCACCGGGCATGGACTTCCACATGTTGCAAGAAGAGGCGTTGACATCAACATGTGGGTGTGTGTAATGACCATCCAGGTATGGCCTAGCCCATTTATACCAGCACCCGACTTCACAGGTGCTTCCTGGTGACAAGTCTGCCCAGAAACCACCTGTTAGGGTCTCCAAACAGCCTGAACATTGGGTGTTTTCAGGGGTCAATGTAGGCATATATTCCAGTCCGGATGGTCCGGGATAGCGAGCCCCCAGGAGACCCTGGCTGGGTCGCCCAGAGGGTCTAAATGGGCCAAGAAAAAGCGTCGAGTGGAACTGGATGGAACTGGGAGTGATTCTTTCCATCTGACCCTGGCGTAGGCCACTTGATGAGTGGCCACCACATGAAAACCACCCCGTTCTTACTCTCCCCTTGGGCAGCCTGCTTGACCTCTTGTATCTGCCCTCTTGCCTGAATAAGAGTCCTCTTGGTTGCTGCTTCACCTCTCTTTATTTCTCTCTTGCCAAAACACAGGTGTCGAGTGTGGCAGCGAACACAGGCTTGGCCCAAGAGCGCTCGCTCCACTGGGCAGGCGCAGGTCCAGTTGCCACTCCTCAAAAAGCGGGACGACCAGATTTACAACGGAGAACCCAGATGTTTTCGACATTTTCGACTCCCAAACAGAACAAACACAAGTATAAGTAAATTAGTAAATCATGTAAATCCCAACAAAAAATGTATTGGAAACCATTTCTAACTACAGTGCGTATCAAACAGCTTTGGAGCGCTCGGTCCATCTACGACTACATGGGCATGATCAGTCTCAATGGCGACGACCCTGACGAGTCAGGGTGGTTTCAACTCACTTGACAAATATATGAGTCAGTGGGTGAAAAAGCATCCCAAGTAAAGGTTGAACATATAAGAATAACTGAGAATATCATAGAATATCTAGCACCACCCAGCAAAATGACAACAACTGGCTGTCCCAGCATTTCATAGCAAATGTCAATACGTCAACGATCCGCTCTTGTGTTCCAAGACACTGATTGTAAAGCTCTCCAAGTCCACACTTGCACGCGCTGGGCGACGCAGATCCCTCTTTCGCCATGCTTCCGGCTGGGCATGTCTTGCACTTGCCCTGGAAGTCCTCCTGGGTCATTCGGAACCCCAAGGCAGAAAAGGAGGAAACGCTCTGAGAGGGCACCTGAGCATACCATGTTAAGCGGAGATAACAAGATAAGTATAAATAAATAACGGATTCTGAAAGAACCAGGGGAGCCGCTATAGCCTCTATTTTTGGACGAATTACAGCAAGTATTTATACAAGTCATTGATGAGTCATTTATTGAACCATTTTTTGGGGGGAACCATCCTGTGATGAATTAATTGAGCCCTCCTTAAAGGTGCTCGCCGGGCATTTCTGGCACTCCGTGCCCTTCCCGATCCAGCCCGGCCCGCAGCTGCAAAGCCGCTCTGGGAGGAACCTCGAGTTCGGAGCGGTGTCCAGGCGGTGTCCAGGTGATTTCGCTTGAAGAGACACTCTCGAAAGCTCTGTGCTAGGTGCTAGGTGATACACTCAGGTGCTAGATGATCCCATGGACCCGGGTCGAATGGAACCCTGAGTCCGACAGTTCTCTAGCTCACTGGTTTGACCCGGGTCCATGGGATCGTTTTGTCCATGGAGTCCGCTTGGTACGTCTTGTATGACTTGGTTCTTTCCCATGGCAATCTGCAGTCTGCAAAGGTTTGTTCCAAACATGCTGTGCGGCGAGCTATTTGGGAGGTGGCCGAGGTCACTGACATCAGAAAGTTGGATAGCCGGATAGCCCAATATAGGCACAAGGTCATCCAGTATGAGGGAAGCACCTACAGTGTTAACTTGTTCCAATAAGTTCCAATCGGCAAATCCAAGGAGCTTGTCCGGTGAGATCTGTAGGGAGGTTGTTGCCAGATCAAAGCAAGCGAAACTGCCATCGGCACTGGACATGCTTCGGTGATGGGTCATTTGTAACACCTCGGGAGTTCGAAGAACATCTCAACAAGTAAGTTGCTTGATGAACAGATATGAACAGACATGTCTAAAACTAATAGTTGAGACACCATGAGAAACCATGTCAATGCAACAGCATCATGATTTTCTCACTTCCCTAATGAGTTCTATGGATTGATCTCAAACGAAAAGGGACCCCACATGGATCCGGTAGCTTCCCAGTGCTCCGCATGGACCGGCGAGTCTGGCCAAGGGTCCTTGTCTTCCAACAGCTGTTCGGCTTCCACGCTGTGAAGTCTCACATTCTGCAGGTCCAGGAAAATGTGCTCTTCCACCGCGCGCAGCAACACGCCGGGCGCCAAGACCATCGGAGGGTTCGAGGCCAAAATCACTGCCTGTGCATCCCGAGGGATGTTCGCCACGTAGGAGATGTCCTGGTCGCCGAAGGAGCGCTTGGAATGCCGCTTGGAGAGGAACATATGAGAGGTTGTCCAACAAAGCTCTTCCAACAATGCGCGACGTATTTGTTTTAACATGTTTTAACATGTCATCTAAATTCCAAGGATGGCCCTCATATATCCTCTTAGACCAATCATTAGAATGATTTGCTTGTCTTGCTTCGGTCTGTTACTGTTTGGAGAGGGGGGCATTTGCTGGTCTTGCTTCAAAAGGAGAATTCCCCACCGCTTCAAAAGGGTGTAAACAACCATGAAGGATACTCGACTAACAGTGGAACACCGAAGGTCCGAGTCCTTTACAAACGACATAATGTGCTTTTCCCCTTTTTTCACCCAACATAATTGTCTCAAGATGTCTCAAGATTCACTTCCCTTGCTGTTGGGCTGTCTTGTGGGCCATGTTGAGCGCCCGTTGCCGATGCCAAGTCGCGTTGAAGGAGAGGTCCAAAGTCTGCAGGGATCGTGCCAAGTCTGACTCCCAAGCCGACCAGAAACGCCCGTTTCGCTTCACCTCGGTGCTAAGCCCAAGGGTAAGGAAAACTGCTGGGGGGGTCGGAGAGTGGGGTGGGGCAAGAACCATGGCACATGTCATCTTGCTGCTGTTTAGTGGTTGCTTTGGTTGCTCCTGTGAGTTTGGGCTGCTTCCCTTTGAATGACATTTGGGGAGATCAGTCTTGAGATACTGATACTGGAGGAAAGTATTCAAGAAGTATGGGAAGCCAGTGGCACTGTCAGCGAAATGTTGTCTTTACGCATGCTGGCCCGTTGGCCAGTGTGACAAACACTTGAACAAGCCGCAAAGACCCATTGGGAACCATGTCAAATGACCAAATAGCATGGGTATATGATTCCCCCCGGCTTGGCCCGGCACCTCTCCAGCACCAAGGTGGTGGCGAGGTTCTGGAGAGGTGCTAGGGAAGTGCTGGGGAGGCGCTGGGGAGGTGCTGGGAGGGTTTGGTTGGCTGACCACTGGCCATCACCAACATCAACATCCCAACATCGCCAGCATGCCCAACAACGACACAGTGCCACTGGCTTCCCATACTTCTGGAATACTTTCCTCCAGTATCAGTATCTCAAGGCTCATGGCCCCAAATTTCATTCTTCAAAGGGAAGCCGCCCGAACTCACAGGAGCAACCAAAGCAGCCGCTAAACAGCAGCAAGATGACATGCTATGACATACTATGACACTCTGTTGGATGACGAGACACATACCAGGACCCTCCTGTCTGGGCGTTCTGGCTGGACTACCCCCACTACTTAGGCCCCGCCATCCCCACCCGCTGGGTCCTGAGCCACTGATAGGACAACTGGGTGTTGGGGTGACGACACGCAAGGCATCCCTTTCGAACACCACGGTGTGTGGCAGTGACGTTTGGTGACGTTTTGTCTGCACGTCATGTTTGTCCTGGCGTGGTGTCAAGTTGTCACGCTTTGTCATTGCACTGGGTGACGCGTAGCAGCAAAGGTCACGGGTCATGGCCGGGTGGGCTGTCTGGCCCAAAATCGAGCCACCCAATCCTGTCGGGTGGGAAGGTGACCAAAAGTCCGAGACAGTCCCTATCCGCGCACCGCCCCCAGCTTTGAGCCAGACACCCACTTGATGTGGTGCAGGTCCGGCACAGCGCCACGCAAGCCGCAGTGGGCTGCCTTCAAACTGGCCAAAGCGCTGCAACCCAAGAAGGGCGCCAGGAACTCCTCCACGGAGGCATTCAGTGGACATCCACTCACCTCTCAGAGTTCGGTGGACGGAGAATGTTCGTTCGCCTGTTTGAGGCGGTCCAAGCGTGTGGAGCTTCGGCTCCGAACCTGAAAACATCGCCCAAATGAAGAGGAATCGTACGTTAATGGCATATCCTGCGTGTCGGTTTTCTGCGGATTTTATGCCACGATGGAAGAAACAGGTCACCCCCATGCCGGCCTGCCGCCTGGCAAGAGCAAGCATGACTCCAAGCATGTTCAATCTTAGGTCCCTGTACATGGACATGTTTGAGCCATCCAACTGGTGGCGTAATGATGTCGTCCAATCCAATCTCAGCACAGTTTCTCAATGAAGAGGAGGTGGTCTACGATTCGTGCAGCGGTGCCTTCGCGGCGTTTCCTCTGTCCCCCCAAGTCCGGTCACAAAAAACGGACGAAGCGTCGTTCTCAACACGGTCGAGCCTCTAAGATGCTGAGATCGGGCAGGAACCGATGACCTCCTTCGCTCCAAATCTCGCGCAACGCGTCCCGATCGGGCCCCGGCGGCGGCAGCAAGCGCACAGAGCTATCCTGGGATGTCTCGTTATAAGGGAAGTGAAGAAGGGGAACAGAACCGTATTACATGGATATAACATGTTATTCATATAGGGTGGACACCATCACTATTAGGGTCGAGGCCATAGCCCATTAGGGTGGAGGCCATCGTCATATTTTTCAAGATATATATAGTTTGAGTAGTTTCTTACACTATCTGATTTGTCATCTCTTTTCTGGACTTTCTGTGGTGGTTCCTCTGAGTTCAGAGTTTCCACTCGCATGATCTGGCTCAATTCCCCCACCATCCCTCACCCGAGGCCACCACCCATCAAAGGCAACCCAAGATTAAGCACACGTGATCATAAGAAACTTTGCAGGCAACAACCTATCACAAAGCTAGTTGCATCGTTCTTTTCTTCCTCAACTTGAAGTTGCATCGTCCACCTGGACCTCTCAAACTCAGTATCTCATATCACAGGCCCCCAGACCCCCCAAACCCCTCTCTTCTGCCCCAGACCCCCTCCGGGCTTCCGCTTCGATCACTCCAAGGCACCGAAAGCTTCAAGCTCCGAAGCCTCTGGCAGCAGCCGCGCCAGGCGGCCGTGAGCTTCCCACGCACCGCGCTGCGGGAGAGGTCCACCTGCTCCAGATCGTTCCTTGGAAGCGTCTCACGCCGGGCAGTCTGGAGGAACGATGAAGTTGGAAGATCTGCAGATTGAAGCTGGCAACAAGGATCAACAAGGTGAAAGAACAAGGCGGTGTTGCGCAGGTGTTCATAGGAATGGTGTAAACTGGAGAAGCGATAAGAGCTTTGTCGATATTGGATAGATGATGATAGATGAATGAGATGAACAGGAAAATGAATGGACAGGGTTGGTGGTTTGGGATGAGAGACCTGTCTCTGGATTCCATTGTCCCTGGATTCCATACTGAGGGTCGCTTGGGACGCGTGGGAGGTCGCAGGAAACCTACAAACACAAACTGGGTGCCAGAACGAAGGGATTCACCATGACTTGGATATGCCTTCGATCTCGGGTTGGCGGAGGATATGCGGTCGCTAACACCCCTTACCGACCAAGCTTCATCTTGATGAGCGTGCGGATGCTACCTTCGGCAAAAAGCAACACTGAATGGCCGGGCCAGAACGCTTGGGCCAAACCAGGCCATCAAGATTGTGTGAGTGCTTTCCACCTCGACATGGTCCACGAACAAGATTGAAGTATATATCTGAACGATGCAATCAGTGGTGGAAAGCTAGTTTTGAGACTCGCCTCTGGGTGTCTCCAAAGAGTCCCTTTACTTGGTGCCTCGTTTCAAAAAGGACACTTCCAAACACCTCTATCGTTTTTCCCAGTGACCGTGCCGTGGTCACTAAACACTCCCCCAAAACACGCCTGTGACCTTGGTCTCGGCCAAGAACAAGCTCTCCACATGGCAAAGGCCCATGCCACCATCGGCATTGCATCCTCTAGGCTCCAAAGTGTTTAAGTTCCCTCGCACAGCAGTCCGCGAGAGATGCACGCTTCCTGAGGCCACAAATCCCAAATATTGCTGAAAGGAAGGAACCTGCGCTGAAACCGTGGTAACCAGTCAAGTTCTGTTTGTTGGAGAACTTTCGAACGACAAGATGCGACAAGGACCTCTGAGTCTGTAGAAACAAGTCTACCTCAAGAATAATGTGTAAATCTTGGTGCACTGTGTCCCCAAATTCGCGTCTGCAATACATCTTCAAGGCTCCTTTTTCTTGTTTGGGGCCATCCAAACCTCTCCACCCGCTGTCTGGCCGCCAGGTCTCGTAGCCAAATGGCCGTACGCAAGGAGCCCAGGTGCCCCACCACGCTGGTGTTGGGCAAATGGAGCAGGTTCAAATGCTTCCTGATCCCAGGAAGGCCCAGGAAGGCTGTCCGGGGGACGACTCATGGAAGCTGAAGGTCAGGCCGGTTTTGCGGTCAAAATGAAGGGATTGGCGGTATGCTTTTTCACATATGCCAGGCTATCATTCCACACTATAGAATACTAGTTTGGACGATGGAGGATTCAATCTGCATGACGTTGGTCAAACCAAACATACTCGTTGGGTAGCAAACCTGTAGACTATCGGTACTTCTTATGCAGCTGCACTGTCTGAAAAAAACAGGAACGTCAAACCTCGGGGCTTCCTGACAACCAAGGCTTGGTACCTGGTCAGTGCGTGCAGGTCCATGTCAGGTCCAAACAGGATGAGCCCTCACCAGGTCCAACCTGGAGCCCGAAGAAACCGAAAGAACTGCACCCTAGCTTTAACCACGGCCACTGAAAGCCCCTCTGTTCATCAATTCATATCCTGGATACTGCTCAACTAGCTTGAATGGTTCTAAGTATACTTTCATGCGCATCCACCCACCCACCCCTTTAAGATCTTTAAGGTGTTTCCGGATCCCGAGCCCAGTCTTCAGAACGAAAAACACATCCAAAACAGGTTTAACGAACCAAACCATCAACCATCGACCTCACCTGAGCCTTTCCCCACCAGGGTGCCATATCCCCACATCCATTGACCTCCTTGATGTCCTCCACATGCCCTCACATTTTTGCCGTGTTGCATGTTCAACACTTGCAAGTCCCCAGAAATGTCGGTGTTCTCCGCGGACAACACCTCCAAGTCCATCGCCTGCTTCAAGGCCGCCAAGTCCCCTGAAATCCTGCTGGGGCGGATTGCTCAGGATCATGATTTTCGGACTGGGATGGAATGGGGAAGCAAAACACCAGAACGAGGTATTTCAGTATGGGTCCGCCTCAAAGAAATTGAGCTGTCCTGTGGGTTTTGGGTGCCATCTAAATCTAACATCTAAGTCCCTGGTGATGATATTCAACAGGGGGCCTAGACTCCAAAATGTGGATGAAACACTTGCCTTTCCGGCAATCAGCACTCATAAGGGTGTCCTGCCCATATAGTGACTGCCAAAATGTTTTTGGCTGATCTGTTTGGAAGTGTTTTGGAACATTTAACCAATGAATGGCACTAAGGCACGCCAACAAAAACCAGGACTGCTCCTGCCAATGCATCCTCCCCACTGGGACTGCCTGCAAACAAATGAATGACTGCTGCATTTTGCTCGACAAAGGCCTTCTGTCGAGATGCAACAGACCACTGAATAAGAATTAGTTGCCGAGAAAATGTAATACTAGCATATACGATCCATGCCATATTTGCCAAAAGCAAAAACCTAAGAATCATCTGACCAAAACTATTTTACTTCGAGTGATCTCCACCATGGCATTGTACTCTGCTGATAACCAAGGGCTATATTGCTTCAGCTTCACCAGGAAAGTGTCTATCTTACCTACATATAGAATAGACTGGCACATATTAAGGCAATCTATCTTGCACATTTGCTGACATTCTATCTAGCATATATTCTGGACTCTATCTACCTGGCGGGCGGCATATTTTCAGACATTCTTTCTGGCATTCTATCTGGCATGTAATATGGTACTCCAGGTTGCACATTTTGACCATTCTCGACATTTCTTCTGGCAAGCTGGCAGTTGCTGACGTTCTTTCGGGCGTTCTTTCTATCTGGTTCAGGTCCGGTGCTCCCCACTGCAATCTGGCGCTCGTGGTTCAGGCCAGGCAGTGCCCACAGCGATCTAGCCCTGCGATTAAGGTCCGGTGCCCACTGCGATCGAGCGCTCGAGGTGCTCGCGGTTGAGGTCCGGCGGTGCCCACTGTGATCTAGCACTCGGTTGAGGAGGACGCGGAGGATGAGGAGAAGGAGGAGCGGGACATCTCTGATAACATCTAACACCTGGCAGATCCTGGCAGTTGACAAAACATGGCAGACTGTTCGCAGAACAGTCTGCCATAAAACTTACCGAATAGTTTTTTCAGCATTATTCAGCCCTTTCCGTGTCCTGGAGTCATCAAGGTAGACGTTGTGTAACTCCGTAGCATTCTCCAATGCGTGCAACTGTCCAGAGACTGTGGTGTTGGTGAGCGAAAGGTCCTGCAAAACCGCACATCCCAATGCCTCAAGCGAAAACCATCCCAACATTCCCCAAGATCCTCACCACGATTCCCAAGATCATCTTGGAACCACGAAGATGATCTTAGCTGACTCGCCGTCGTCGGACTCGCGGACTCGCGAGTCGTCAGCTCCTGCAAAAAGAGGGCGTTCTGGAGTGCCATCAAATCTCCTGACACCTGCGCCGTTCAGTAGGTCACCGGGTGAAGCCACCAGGCCGAAGAGAGAGAGGTGGTCCAGAGCTGCAGGTGGAAAAGGTGGTCGTTACCCCTCCCGGAAGAAAGAATCAGTTACACGTCCTCTCTCCCCAAACGTTCTTCTCTCTCTTTCTGGGTCGGTTGCTCGAAAAACGGACGAAGGGCTTCAAGAATCCGGGTGATGGTCTCAATCCCTTCGATAGGATTCTATAGATCTGGTCACCTCTCAACTGCCCTTGAAAAGCCGAAGGAGAGATGATTGAAAACCCCTGGTCGGACCCATAACCGCTGTCTCAGCTGGGTCTCATCTGGCAGTCAAAGAACCAGTTCAATCCTTTTCATCCATTCCAACACCAAGAAAATCCCTCCGCGCCTTGGTGTTGGGCAAGTAGAGATCTGAGAGCTCAGTAGCACTCTGCAGGGCCACTAAATCACCATAGACCGGGTGTCCTGCCCATGGCGACGCATTTCTTGGCCAAACGACTGGGCTCACTCCAACAACCGGGCAGGGTTCCAGCCACCGTCGTGTCGGGACTCTTTCGTCGTGTAGGATTTTTTGGTTGTCGCACGGTTCTTTTCAGAGTCAATGCCACAACCCCAAAAGGTTAAGAAACAACTCACGGAAGAGTGGCCTATGGGTTTGTTTGTGCATGTTTGTGCCGTTTACTCTAAAACCGCTGAACATAGCACCTTCCCAGTCTGTGAAGATACCCCCCCCATCCAGACATCCACAACTCTTCCAGAACTGCTGGAAGGTAAATGGATGTCAATGGTCCAGCTATCACTGGTCCTTGGGTCTAGAACGCTCCAGCTAACCATCTGAAACATCCTGAAACAATGGAGTGACAAGGTCGGCCTAGCACAGCACATCAAACTCCCAAAAGACGTCAAAAGACTATACTTCTTCCCGTCACCACCGGGTCACATACAATGACCATAGCACTATCCATGCACCCCCCCCGACCCCCACCCCCACCGCCACCGCCGTCCTCCAACGCCAAAACCTGTAGCTGCGACGCCTGCAGGCTTTGCAAATCCCCGGTGACCAAGGTGTCTGAGAGCCGCAGCGTCCGTAGCTGGCGAAGTGGCCGCAGGTGCTCTAAGTCTCCGGAGATGGTGGTGTGGGAGAGATCCAAGCGCTTCATGCGCGTCATGTTGCCTAAGCTGCTGAGGTTACCCGTCACCTCCGTGTTCTGCAAGTAGAGGTGCTTCCTCAGATTCTCAGGAAGGTTGGAGACACGTCGAAACGATCACCAGACTGAAGATTTGCAGTTCGACAGCTGCTTAGCCCTGGCCATATTGGCCGTTCCAAGCTTGCCCATCATCCCTTTTTTCTCTGAGATTTATACAAGGGTATACAATATACAACCTTCAAGTTCAAGTCAAGTACTGATAAAAGCCTACTAAGTTGTGCAGCTCTTCTCTCAGGTGCAGTTCCTGTTGCCCCCTCTCCATATAGACCTGATCACAATAAAGCAACTCATATAAGACTAGCCTTCTTCCAGCTCCATGTCCTTCCTTCTCCTCCCGTGCGAAATCCGATGTTACACATATTTATAACATATTTAACACATAAAAAAAAACCGTTCCACACAAACAAACAAACAAGCAAACAAGCAAGCAAGCAAACAAACACACAAACACACAAACAAACAAAAGAACTCCTAGAACCCTGAGAGTCCAGTCATGACTCACTTTACCTCTAGATCTATATTATACAGTATACCTCTAAGTGATCTAGTGGATGATGACTTCCAGGGTCCAAGGAGTCGTTCGGAAGTTCTGGGAAGTCTCAACTTGCAGGGCAACTCGCTGAGGTCTCCGGTGATGTGGGTGTTCCGCAGATCCAAGCGCTGCAGCTCCGGCAGCTCTCGGAAGCTCAACGGTCCGCGCAGGTCCTTGAGGAGCGCGCGCCAAGGAACCCGCGCTTTTTTGTTTGAACGCGGTGTTGGACACGTGGGTTCACACGCAGTTAACAGGTATCATGTAGTTAACATGGAGATACATTACTACCATTATTACTAATTACCCAATTTGATGCTGGTTTTGCTTGAGTCTGCCTTGTTTGGAGGCTTCGGGAGAAAGCCGATGCCTGGAGGTTGCCTCCCGCGATCATATCAGTGGTTTACTATCACGCGGTGACGAACCTTTGCCGTCCGTCATCCGCTTGGGAAACGGAGTTGGCATGTGCTGCCCTGCAGAAAACTGAGTTGGCATGGTCACGGCAGCCGGCAGAAGTCGGCTTGATTGCGATCTTCATGGACAAACGATGTCCATGCTTAGGCAACTTTAGACTTAAGCTTATTAAGCGTCCGTATTCCTCGAAAGAAAACAAGCAAACACGTGAGATCACGTGAGCTCTACGTGGACTTAAAAAGATACTTCTACTGCACTGAAGAGTTGATCTGAATCACGCCAAAGCCAACAGCCTCTTGGTCTAGGACTCGTTTCTGGAGACTTGGCTTTCAGGGTCATCCCCTCTTTCTGCGTCACGGCGCGTTGCCGCGTGTCTAGCGTGTCACGGGTTTGTCGGTCCTCCTGGTGGCCCTCATGAGGAAAGTTGATCTCGGTCACGGCGCAGCGGTCCTCCTCAGACCAGTGGACACCTGCGGAGCGAGCGAGCTGCGCTCCCACCGGTGGATCTCCTGAAGCCTCAGATTATGCGCAATGGTTTATGGAAAACGGACGTTATGCCCAGACTCCATGGGACTGGCATCTTTACACTCCATGGGACTGGAGAGCTGTCTGCAATGCGTGTGGCCAACGCATTTGTAGTGGGGATCCCTTCTGAGCAGAAGGAGGTGCCTTTGTTCTTGATGGTTTTACAATGTTTACATGGTTTTACAACTGTCCTAGACAGAATATGAACGATTCCGAAAACATGGGCCGTTTCGATTTTGGAAGCATTCTCATTGGCAGCTCAACCTGAAAGCCAAGAACAGCAACTCCTCACTGTGGGCCCCAAATGGAAGAGACGACCACCTGACCGCCTGGATTTCGTAGCACAAGAAAGGAACATCAGGGGACGTGGACTGACCACGTCGGGATCGAGGTGTCAGTACACCAGATGGACGGAGTTCGGGTGGTGTTCGGCAGGATCAAAGACACCCTCCAATGCCAAACCCTTCACTCACCCTTCACTCGGTGCGGGGCTTGGGAGACCCACCACACCAACCCACCGCACTGTCTCAACGGCGCAGGGGGGCGAACCCCATGCCGGGCCGTTCGGGCCGTGCCTCGAGCCCCAGTTTCCATCCACGTCTTACCTGACGGGCTAAGCGCGCAGGTGCGAGAGAGTGGCAGCCCTGATCTAAGTGACGTTAGGTGATGTTAGGTGAAATTGGCCCCCCAAACAACACAGTACTGCTTCGGACATGGATCAGGATGTGGAACATGAATGAACATGACCTTCCCGGAACTGCTTTGGACCTCTCACGGGGTTGCTGCGTTGCCTGCGAAGCACCAGTCAATCTGACAAGACCAAAGAAGGGTCGTTGTGGCAAACATCATATACCTGGAACCCGTTTGACTGATAGGAAAAGACCATATTTTGGGTGGTTGGTGGTCCAAAATACCGGTCATCCAGGTCCCAGGTATAAAACTGTTCGACCTAGATCTCCTGGAAGATCCTGGAATCCACCAACCACCTGATATTTTTATGCACATGATGCACATGAACGTGCCACGCATTGGGTAGTCGGGTAGTCTTTCTTAACGGGGGAACACCCAATTATTCCAAAAGATCCCGACCACCCCGACGACACTTGACACAGACAGGGTCCGCTGGGATGGGGTGTGAATCACCGCGGTCTTTTCTGTGATGCCACTGACGTGTCTTGCCTTTAAGGTAAGAACCCGCAAACTTTGGAGGTTCATCTCCCCGAAATCCGAGCGGCCTGGCGGTGTCAACAAGCCAACAACTGGTTGAAAACCAACAAACGTGATGCTCAACTTGCTCGAGGGCAGGGCTGGACGCACGTTCCCAGCCCTACAGTGGAGGCTCTCCACAAGTTTGCCCAACAGGCGACGGCCCATGAATGTGTTATCATTTCCGGGGTATGATGACCCCTGCCATTGATTTTCAACGCCTCAAAAAGAAGCTTCGCCCGGTGCAAACTTGTCCTTTTGTGCCTGGGAAGTCATTCCTTGTTTGCACCACGTGCTATGGGAATGCTCTGACTTGCGGTTCATCGGAACATCCCCCAAACTGCAGTGCTGTGTCAGGTTGCCCCAAGGCTGGGTTGGTCTGTGCATGGACACCTGAACCCGGCTCTGATCAGGCAAATGGCTTTGATCAGAGCGACTGAGGCGCAGAAACGCCTCACCGACCACCGCTAAGGATTCTTGACGACTGCTGTGCGCTCCTACACACAGTGGTTGCTGCGGCTATGGTTGCGGCTGCTGCTGGCAGTGTGCTGCGCGTTCACCTACTGGACCCTTCCGGCGACCAGGATTTCAACTCCAAAAAACGGCGCAACCAGGATTTGATGACAGGACCAGGTCCGGGCAGTGACGTGTCCGGACCGGTTTCGGGTCGGCGCTGGACGGGTGACACCGAGGCGCTTTTCAACAAACTTCGCAGCTTCCACTCGGTGAAGCCCAGGCTCCTCAAGGCGCGGCGCACGGCGGCGTCCTGTGGGCCTCGGGGGAGCGGCTTCGTCGCCGAGGGGCGGAACCGCGGCCGGCGGAACCGCCGGTGGGAGCGGCTTCGATGGTGGTCTACACCGGTGTGGGGAGTGGAAGCTGATGGCGCTTTTTCAGATGCTATCTGTGGGACTCCGTGGAATTGTCATTGTACAAGGGAGCCACCGCCAGGCCACAGCCAAACTAGGACTGCTCATTGCATTTGCTCGACTGTTGGACCAAATCTACATGGCTGTGGGTCAAAACCAGGATCCTTGGTTGACCTATCTGGAAGGTCGAGCTACATGGTGGACCAGGGTTCCAGGTGACAAACACCAGCCCCACATCCACCTGTTCAGTTCCAGCAGCATCCTCCTTCCACCTCAAAGCCTGGCACACAAATGGGAAAAAGGCGGCCAATGCGTCTATGGACGCAAGGGACATGTGAATGGACACATCGAAAGCAAACGTTGAAGGCCGGGGTCACCGGGTCTGGATATGTGTTTTGTGTTTTTTATTTTAAGTCATTGAAAGGCTAAGTGCTTGGGACATCGAATCATTGTGCCAAATGAAGATTTCTTTTGTCTGACACCCTGTACATCGCATGTAGCTTGCCCCTCTGGTTGTATAGTGCCTATGTATGCCTATGTCATATTCTGTCCACCACCTCTGGAGCGAGAGATGGCGTGGACCTGCAAGTGCTTTGCTAAGGATTCTAGACTACAAAACCAGGTCAAGCCTTCTGTCTTTGAACGCTAGGGACACTATATATAATAATCAAATACCGATCCATTGGACTTTCTGGATGCCCATTGGCATCTCTAAGGTTCAGAAAATTGAACATCCAAACACTCAAGTCTTAAGACTGCTCCTGTAAGATGCTTGTGCTTCCGGCTGAGCTCCGGTCCTTCCAAAAGGGAGCCCACAGAAGTGCTCTCATCCTCACTCTCCTCCGGCGAAACAAGTGGAACCCCAGCCAGAAGCTTCAGTGAATGTGTGGGGCCCGGAGCAGGTCCCAGCTGTGGTGTTCCACCACACAAGGCAGGCCAAGGGCAGCATGAGGTTCTTCTTCCACAACCTGTGACCTTCGGATCGGATGGGTGGAGCAGCACCCCCGACCTTCACCCATCCGATCCGAATCACACGGGTGGCTATAGGCTGCTATAAGGGATCACCGCTGGGATATCCCAAAAGCTTGGACAAAGAGATCCCTTGTGCCCTATGTTTGGCTTCAAGAGTTCTTCCCAGATTTCTGGCTTTAACATATGTTAAATGCATACAAGTGTTGACAATTCTGTGCTCTAGTTCCCAGGGCTGTGCAATAGTAACAAACAAAGCAGTTCTCCAGTGGTTTCAAAAAGTGGACAGGTGCTCACAAGTGAGGTTTCATGTACCCAAGGTGTTTGTTTCTTCTTATAGTGTTTGTTTGGTCGACCTTTTCTTTTCTCGGTTTCAAAGCAATTCTTGTGAACTCTTCCAAGCAATTATTGACGCAAATGCCTGGGCAGTGGTCCATGGGTTGTGCAAGCTTGGCCTCGCACCATCAGGACTTCCCACCCACCAGTAAACTGCCGCCCAAACACATCGGCTTCGATGACGTGCTGCTTCAGCCGAGGGCGTTCAGCTGTATCCAGGGCGGCCAAAGTCACCAGGATGCAAAGCACCCGTTCATGGCCCAGCATAGAGATGGAACATGGATCTATCAAGCAACAGCCGCGCGTCGTTCACGTCGAGGCACTCGACGAAACTGCGCATAGGCTTGAGCCGAGGAAGAACTCTCTCGTCGGTAGCAATCATCCCTTGAGGAAGGAGGTGACGTGAAACAGGTGAGGTTACCAAACGCTGATGGAGGCCCCAATCCTGGTGAAAGATGTTCTGAGCCTGTCCTTGTGGCTGGTTCGGACTGGTTCATGTGGCTTTCGCTTCTGCATACGGAAAATTCGGTGCATGGCGGACCAGAAGCCCCGTGGCCAGGCCTTCCTGGATCATGATGTCGACCATCTCTGGCAAAGCGCCGTGGGTGTAGTCCTGGACTGCCGAGAACCCCCCGCAGGCCATCCTTGGACCAAACATCCCGAATCCAAGACACCACTTTGCCGTGAAAAGCGACCATCCAAACAAGGGTTTTTGTTCATTGTTTTTTTCTCATGTGGATGTACTGTAGCAGGTTGTTCCCAGAGTTTGGTCATGCTCCTTCCACATTTTGCCTGTCGCTTTGATGATTCTGAGGGACATCTCTGAAATGGGAAACACTCTCCAACAAGACCATGTCAAGCGATGAAGCAATCAAGGGTCGCCTGCAAACCGCAGCTACTGGAGTGCGATCTGTTCCAGCATCAAGTCCACCAAGGTCATAGTACCACCAACCGTTGGGGGGGCTGACAAGTGAGAATCACAGGAACCACCTGGAACTATACCCTGAGAAATTGCATGACTTCAGCCCAAAACCCACCCCGAGAAGAAAGGCTTCCCCACGCCAGAAACACCGGCCTCCACCCCGGTGAAAAGGCTTCAACTAGACCCGTCGCGAGGTCGCGAGGTCCGGTCGGTCGCCTTGTTGGTGGCCCGCGCGGTGCCGCCCAGCTTGGGGATCAACAAGTCCACACCGAAGGGTCTCCCCGGGTTCAAGCGGCGCTTCACTTCCTGGGACCCAGCCCCACCGTGGACGGCGTGGCGAAGAGGTTGGGAGGGTCGGCCAGGTGGGTGGGTGGGTGGTTTGAACCGGGACCATCCGTGTGTGGTGTGCGACTACATGCGACTACCTTAAGTGGTATCTTGGACATCGGATGTGTTTTGCATTGGCTACAAGAAACAACCATCGACTTCCCATCTATGGACCATTAAAGAGTGCAATGGAGAATCACTTCTGCACAGGGGACAAGCTTTATGGGATAACCTTTATACGTGTCTCCCAATGAAGTATGCCACAGCACGGTGCAACCGGGATAACCGACCTTTTTCTTCATTCTTCGTGCTGTCCGCTCAGAATTTCCGGAACTGTCCGCTCTTTCAAACCCCTTTCTCCGGCCTGGAGGCTTGTCGGGGCTGACTCCGACACCGACCCTAGTAGCGATGCCAGGAGCCCCCAGTAATTCCCTGCTCTTAGTAGCGATGGCAGGAGCCCCTAGTAGCTTCTTGTTCCTAGTAGTAAGGCCAGGAGCCCCTAGTAGCGTCCTTGCTCCCAAAAGAAGCTCTCCTCCCAGAGATACCAAGGGCCAAGGGAGGGACCAGCATGATACCTCTGAGCACGGCACCTGTGTGGCCTCCCGTGCACCTGTGTGCCCTCCCTGTGGCCTCCCTATATATGAATATATGAAAATTCATTCAATGGTTGGCCACAGAACCTGTCCTCAATCATCTACCCCCACCCTAGAGCAGCATGTAAAACAAACAGGCGTTGAGTCAATCATCACCTCAGCTTTCTAGGCGCATGATGATAGGATATGATACATGTGGTATCTATAAGGGTAATTGCGAGTCCCAATCAGTTCTCTTCTTCAGTAGTTTCTGTATCCTCCAGAACATCCTCCCCCACAAGCCCCTAGCGAATGATGTTTGTTTACCATCTTCGAATGTTCCTTTCGGACATCTCTCTACTGGCGTAGACTCAGCAAAAACATCACCGCAAAAAAAACACACCCTTCCCCACCCTTCTCCCACCCCCCTTCTCCCACCTTCTCCCGCCCCCCGTAGACCGCTTCAAGCGCGCCCTTCTCCCCCCTCTCTCTCTTCCGCGTCGCGCTCCCGTCTCCTGGATCTCCTTCCGGAAGCCTTGCACCTCGAAGGTCACTCCACCCAAGGTACCGATGCCCCCGGCGTTGCTCACCGCCTCGGGTCTCCGGGATGCTGCGATCAGGCGTCTGATGGAGGTGCGCAGACCGCTGCCATCTCCGTGTCCAATTGGAAATTGAATTGAGGGTCCAATCATGTGTTCTGGGCAGCATTATATGATGTGTATTGTACTATATATATACACAGGAGTTGTCGCTCCTCACTGCGGCCTTTGGTGAGATATCGACAGGTTTGACCAACCCGTTTCTCGCCATTGTCAACATGTCCAGCTCCACAAGGCCTTGCCTAAGCCAAGATCGAAACCAAACCGAACCATCGATCGGATCCATCGGACTAGAAGAGTTTCCATCTCATTCATCCCATCTCATTCATCAGTACCCAGCCATGTAAATAACTATTTAAGACACCCATGCATGGTCTGGGAGACATCGCCCCAACACATCCAACGCCGTAGAGGAGAAAACTGTAGGGTTACCCATCCAGTATGGCGATGGTTTACATATCCAACAAGGAAAATGACGCAAATGGAATGATATGAATCAACACATCTACATTATCTCTCTCTCTCTCTATATATATACAATGTAAAAATACTGTATATATATATACATAGGCACCTGCGCCCATAGAGGTTAAGGGGTCTCCATGAACTAACCCGACCCTTGTGGCTCCTGGTATATCACGGATGTAAACCGATGCCCAATCCATTCATCGCAGAACCAGCGGCTGCCACGAGCTCATGCCCCGAGACGCTGCCCATTCCTGCGACGTCGGGGTGGCACGGTCTGAGTCCCATGACCGGGCTGCAGTTGCGATGTGTGTTTGCAAAGGCGCAAGCCACGTGCATGTCCTTTGCCATTGTGCGTGTCCTTCGACTTCATTCCTCAACAATCCCCACCACGGTGGTAAGTCGGGACGCTGGAGGCCCATTCCTCCCTTGGTGTTTTGCCTGTTCAAAAGAACCCATGCCAAAACAATGCCAAGTGACTGGTGATAAACACCCCCCGTAAGCCGGCAGATGTGCCATCCAGGTACGGGGGCTCTGTGAATCAACAGTCAACGGGCTCGGTTGCTGTTGCTTCCGACGCAAAGCATGCGCCTGCTGCATGCTGGCATGACCCAGTTAGGACTCACCGGCCGACGCAACCCACGCACTCTTTTTAGGAAAGCTGTGGAAACCGTGGAGAAGTGCTTCGTTACGTTCTGCACCAATCCAGGCGAGTATGGACACTGTGACAGCCGCAGGAACAGCATTCCCAGCGTTGAACTCATGTCGCTGATGGGCTCAGAAGCTCATGTCCGGCGAGTATGGACAATCTGAGAAGTGGCCAATGTGGTTCCCTTCCAGGAGACATGCGCGGACGTTCAAGTATGCCCCATCTGAGGCTGAGTTCGGATATCCTTGGATATCCAACACATCGAATTCTCTGCATGCCACCAGCCGAGTATGGCTTTACTGCTGTTTGTTTCCTTCTACCATACGTATTTCTCGGTGCGCTTTCGAAACCGCTCAACACTCCCAACACTTGGAACCTGGAAACCACATCATAAACAAACACATCCACCAAACCGAGTGGGCCACAACAACTCAAGTCTCAAAACAACACAACTCACCACCAGGTCGCCCAGGAGGCACTTGATGTAGTGATGCTTGGCAAAGTCTCGGGCCGTGATGGGCTCGCAGTCCTGGAGAAGCGGAGCGAAGAAGAGCGAAGAGCGAAGAAGGAAGGAATTGGTGTCCAGAAAAACCTCCGGTTTCCCAACCAAAGAGAGAATTGGTGGTGTATGATTCCCAACCAAGGAACTTGTGCTTTTTAATACACAACCCATTGGTTGTGTCCAAAGAAGGAATTTGTATTAAAAGAAGGAGACCTCCCAACCAATGGGTTTTGGGTCTATTGCCCTTTGGGAGGTCAAACCGACCCCGTTTGAATACACCCCCAATGGCTGTCATGGCCCCCGGAGACGGACCAAGGGCTCTATGTGAAAAGACCCATGGCCAGTGTCCCAAACACGACTAGTGCGACTGGAGTATAGGCCATACCATGAACCCCGTTGAGATCCACCGCCCGTACCAGTATTGGTAAGTATCTGCGGTCGTCTCATCGGTCGTGTCTGGGTTTTGGTCATTTTGAAGAAGTCACATTTGTCCAAACCACCATGAAAGTCGTGGCCAAATTGACATCCTTTCTTTGGAGTAACCCAGTGACCAAGTCGCACGAACATGCCGAAGAAAGGATGGTGCACCACTGAAATCTATAAACATCTCACAAAATCTCCAGCCCCCTCCTGCATGCTCTTGTAATTGGCCCTTGCTTTGATCGACGGCAACGTCAATTCCATCGAAAGATTGGCCGCACAAAAGACCTTCGTGGCCAGGGCCTGATTGTCGTCCAACCAGTCGGCTAAGACCAACTCTTCCTCGAAGCAAAATGACTCCGTACCAGGTTGAATTAGGGGTGGCACTCCGTCATCACGAAAGATATCCGTTGCGGGCATCTTCAGCAAGAGTTTTTCAACTTAAAGCTGTGGCAAGCATCCCCAACACTTGAATCGGACCAATTTTGATCAGGATATATATAATATACCCCTGGGGAGTTTGTATGTATATATATATGGCTGTATTCCAAAATGAACCGAAGTGTGGGGATGTTCCTTCAGGGCAAAGGCTATGACTATGATCCACAAGGTACGGATCGCCAGGCGGACGCTCTCATCTTGCAAACGTCCACCAAAACCTAGGCAGTACCGCGATATTAGATGATAGCAGTGTTCGTTCAGGTTCTTGGCGGACTTTCGACAGGTCTAGGCGAACGTTTGGCTTTCACCACGGCTTTTCTGGACTGTTGAGACCCGTCTGTTCAATCCAAGTTTGTGCTCTGTATGTCAAACAATCACGGGCACCTTTAAGTCGATGTGACACATGAAACAGGCAAACAGCATTGACCACAGCATCCGTTGGCACTGCTCCACTCCACCTAATTGAAAAGTGAATCAGTAAAGAAGTGAAGAACTGGCCGGTCTGTCAACGCAGGACCAGGTGGACCAGGTAAGCCGGAAGCCACAAACTCCACCGAACTCGCCAGGTTGACACGCTTGTAGTGTCGCGCACAGTAACGCTTGCAGTGCTGCTTGCATGTTCACACTGCAACTTAGGAGTCATTGAATCTATGACAGAGCAGCCCCTGCTTGTGCATTCGATATCTGCAACATCCTCTGGAATTTCCAGTGATAGTGGTTGGTGGATTGTAAAGTCTGCACCTATCCTATCTCCCTCTGATCCGGATCTTTGCCACAGACCAAGCATTGTAGCCTTGATGTAATCGAAGCCGCATCACGGAAGTGATGGACCGCATGTCAAGTACTAGAGCCTGACCGTCTATACTGGAATCTTTAAAACAATCGCAACCCACTTCGACATCATAATCTCCAGCCCCAAATGTGCTGGTGTCATTATCTACCGCTCCCTCAACTGGTCCTCCTTGAGTGCCAGTTTGGCCAGTGCTGGTGAACTGGCATTTGGGAAGATTTGGGCACCATCGGCCGCGTAAAGCTCCACTTCGTGCACATCCGCAAAACCATCGCCCGCCGCGGCGGCCTCCGTCGGCGAGCTTCAAGTATCTGAACCCTGAAAATGGGTTACACACGCCTTCGCCTGAAGTCAGTGGCCCATCACCACAGGCCAGCTGTAGCAGGAACGCAGTCATCACGTGCCAAAAGCCATCTGTAGCCATCGTCATCGGCACACAGTCACGCGATGGGTATGGAAAAGGGCCAACATCGAAGCTGCATGAGAGATTTGGCAGTTAAGCTCTGTTGAAGCATGTTGACCGATATCTTGACTCCATTTTTGACAACGTAGAGATGCTACCAAACAGCAAACGCAAGACAGGGGGAGGCAACAACTTTCAACGGTTTGAACCGATGCTCATCCACACATGAAAACACAACTGGCTTGCGTCTGCTCATCCTTGTGGGTGGTTTTCCATCACCGTGAAGCACCTATGAGATCCAACGAAGTATGTTCAGCGCTGGGTGTGCTGACTCTTACTTCGCCATCACAGGACTCAGTCCAACTCACACCTCTTGACCATACCCAGCTGCACCGACCGGCACCATGGGATCTGGGGGCGAATCCCCCCAGGCCGGAGGCACCGGAACGACTGCACCGAGGTTCACCGGAACGACGACTGGAACAGAACACACCAAGTTCATGGCCAGGTTTCATCTTGAAAGTGGTATTTTTCTTGGATCTCCAGGCACTTCTGCTTCGAGAGCTCGATCCAATGACTGCTGTTCTTCATCATAGAGGGCTCCAAGCCCTGGTTCTGCAAGTATCCCAAGGAGTAGCCATAGAGATCATCAAAGGAGTAGTGGCTTGAGTCCATGTAAGTGGTCACCACCTGATTTCTACCCTTCTACATGGTGAACACGCCTCGTTTTCAACGGTGAAAAGACACCCCCTTTGTTCGACAAGAGAAAAACACCTCGAACAGCTGACATTTTCACCAAGCCCCCATTCGTCTGACCTGTGGAAGAGTAAACATAGAAGAGTCTACCGCAGTCTACCCATCAATATCCATTGGATTAACAGGATCTCCCCCCATTTGGTCAGTGAAATCGTTCTATTTTCATCCAAGCACCCCAAGACGCACCGGGATCTGTCCTTTTTGGGGAAAACCTACATCTTGCATCCTTCGACTCTTGCCTGAGGTTCTTTGCTAAGGGCTTAAGCTTCGGTGGCTTAGTCAAAAATCCCTTCTAAACCAAAAGGACTAAGAAATCTAAGAGTACGCCCTCAAGTTGGTTGGCTTCCTCATCACCCCGCGGCCTGGCCCTCGAAGTGATACTTCAGCAGCCGGCCCTGGTTGTGCCCATGGTAGTCCGGGCCTCTCAGACCATTGATGCCCTGTATGGCGTAGTCCACAAAGTCCGGATCTTCGTCTTTCAAAGGGCTCACCCAAAAGCCAGTGAAGTTGAAGTAGCAGTAACCATCCTGAGGGTGACAAGTGTCACGCGGTCCTGAAAAACGGCTAGCCTGCTCGTAGTCTATGTTATTAGTATATATATTCCTGCATTGGGGACTAGCCAAGTTCTGCCTCAGTGACCACTGTGCCACTGCAAAGTAGTTATTGTATACACGGCATCCGCCACTCTGGGGCCGTCTCGGGGCCGTCTCCAAGGTCGTCCTTGTTCGTCTCCAAGGTCTTTGAGACATTACGGGCGCACCAAAAAAGACATCGACATGTTCCACTTGTTTGGACTTCAACTTTTGATGACTTTTGGTGGCTCCAACCTTCACCACTGAGAAGGACTTGCTGGGAACAACGGTCTTAAGCTGGGAACAATGCCTCCGGGGTGAAACACGCACCCGATCCGCCCAACTCTCCTCTCCCGGGTGCTCCGCCATGACCTGGGGCACTGGTCGATAGCAATCCTCGCCGTGCGAATGCACCGGGCAGTTGTTACCTCAAGCCGATCGCAGGAATTGGACCCGTGTCATGGATTGTTGGGTTCACACCGATGTGGAGCCGAAACACAGCAAGAAGAATCATAGCAGAAACTGCCCCGGAAGGTATTGGACATCGAATAGGTATTGGACATGGGATGAAACGAGGGGGATTGGACATGGGCCGCTCCCTGAGCTGACCGGTGGTGCTGGGAGGTGCCTGGTGGTGCAGGGCACCTCCCAGCACCCAGGCTCAACAATAAATGCATGTCGTTTGACAATCCAATGGTGTCATAGTCGGACACACGCAATAGCTGGATTTACTATATATATCTCTATATGTTTTTGACATCTTGTTTTTCGAAGGGATAATTATTCTTAGGGAGTATGATTCGTGTGAGTGGGTCCAAGCCTCGCAGGATCCAATATATTGTCTTGCTTCACTCACTCATTCTCCAACACCACCTCCTGCGGCGACACTCGCAGGGGGTGATTCCTTGCAGGGTCCCCTGATCTTCGATCCGACCGAGGGCGGGGTCGGCCGTTGAGGCACTGCAAAAGAAGTTGGCGCTTGGATCACATTCGTCGCCCAGCAGGTGACCACCTCAGCGGGGTCGCCATGGCGGCTGAATGTTGAGGGTCATGGCACCTGGAGTCCCAACACTGGACTGGTCGGTTGACCGAAACCAGGTAAGTCTATTCTGTTACATGTTCGGTGGTCAACCAAGGTCCGGTTTTGACCTGCCATATGGCTGTCACTCTGTGAGTTCTTATCACTTGACGCGGAACAGGAACTCTCTTCTGATCTCTTCTGTGGGTTGCTGTTGGGGGACTGAGGCCTAGCTTCACAAACAAGCGAACAAAGATTACAATACAAATGCCAAGAACTGATCTTGAGAACAAGGCATAAATTCACGCTATGCAAGAATAGTGAGTGACTGAGAACATGTGGTGGCTATAGGATGCAATACCACTATAATTCAGCAGGAAATGACTCCAAAGTCTGTCAACAAATCTCGTGATCTCTTCTAACCAGTCCTCGAGCACTTTTGCTCTGCCAACCTCCCTAGCCTGCCACCCGCTTCGCGCAGCAAGCCACAATTCCGTAGATGCCGTCCCGCAGTCAGTCTCTGCGCATCCTTTCCATGAAGCGATTCGCTCAGGTGCTCAGTCTCTGCCACAGCGGTACCCAGCTGCAGCATTCTCATCTCGGTTCCCAGCTCGACGCAGTCGTCCTCGGCCATCGTCCCCGGCCACGCCCAAGCCGTGAAGGTGAAGCACAGGGTCCATCCGCACCACCGGGCCATGAGTGTTCGGCCCGAGTGAGATCGCCGCACCGGGGTCGTTTGCGCTCAAGCGTGGGTGGTACCGCTTGAGCTGAAAAGGACGGCAAGCCACGGCCGATGCACAAATAGCCTGACGGATCTGTTGATGGAACACCGACAGCCTGTGGCCAGAGACTTGCAATTGGATAGCTAGTGCAGGATGTCGAATGCTTCAAGACCCAGCAGGATGTCTTTCTGTCTAGGTTCGAACACCTCAGACTCTGCACATGATTGGCCACATGGGCACAATATGGCACAATAAGTGCCACATGTCACACGACACTTATATAACTTGAACTTGAAGACTGGAAGACTGCACCTTTTCATCACAAAAAAGAAACGACGCAGAAGAAGTCTTGAGCATTAGGAAGAAAAACCGTCAATTACGGGTCAACAGTGATCCCCCCGCCCTGAGCGGCATATGCTGGCCAGCTATGATGCTTGGCCCAATACAAATCAGACTCCGCCCGTCTATTCCTACAGCCCAGGAATGCCCAGGATCTGTATGCGACCACACCATTGCTTTAACAAAAAAACACCCTCGCTAGGCATCTCTCACCGTCAGCTTGTCCACCACTCGTTTATCCTGGAGTTACCAAACATATATCCCATTCAACATTGAACATCATAGACATATAGATCAATCGAAAGCCTCTTTTCATCTCTTTTCCATCGAGATCTCACCTCATCTCACATCTTCCCAACATCTCTCCTGCCAGCATGATGGGATATTGAATCCCCAAGAGCTCGGTCAAGGGCGTCTTCAAGGTCGCCATGGCGCTCAACTCGATGCGCGTTGTTTTCAACGTGCGCGGTGTCAAACAACGCTTCGTTCACCGTCCAACATGGTTCCGTGTGCTTCCCCCGCGCCGCGATCGCTGTCTTCGAATCTCGGCGATGGCCGTTCGGTCGATTCCGTTTCCCGTTTTGGTCGGCTCATTTCCTTTGGGTCCAGAACAACATAGCTGAGCCAAAGGGTGAAAGCCCGACCGGCAAAATGACGCGCGCAGAAAAACACACAAGGCTGAGAGGAAGAGCTTTTTGTGAGAAGTGCACAACGGGAGGGACTTCTCATTGGGAATATATGTCTTTTTGGGGGTCAGTCTCGACTCATGCGGTCGCTGCCCAAAGCAGATCGGATGAGCCGACGGAATCACTCCCTCTCTGCGGTCGGGTCGTCGCTGAGAAGCCGACCAAATGATGCTCTGGATCACCTGACTGGTCGCATGACGCGTAGCTGGAAAGCGACGCAACCAATGACTGCAACGCAGTGTCATGCTTCTAGGAGCGCTGAAGGAGTGAGTTTAAGCCGAAACAGGGCCGAGACATATACGATCAGCGAATTACCATCTGCTTTTCATTGTCACGAAACACTCCTTCCAGAAGCAATAGAAAAAGCAAAGGACATGATGTTCGAATGTCAAGGTCGCTCGAAGACTTGCAGTCAAAAGACCAGCATGTTACATGGTGCCATTCAATCCAAACTGCTTGTATACCTTGGAGGACTTATTCAGTCATGTGTTTCACGATGTCACCACATTTGCGGTGAACCAGTGAAACAGGGTGCAGCAATGTGAGATCGTTTCCTGCAGACAGAATTCTTGGAATTCCATCTCCATCAAAATGGGCCAGAAGCGCGCACACTTCTGTGCGCACACACACAGACAGACACACACGCACACCGATTCCGCATGCAGGTCTCAAATCAACGTGATATTGAATGGGAGCAAATCTTTGATCTTTTCGTTGGCCACCTTTAAAGGATCACTTTCGCTCAAATGGCCAAAGGTCTCTTTCCGTGAGACTTCTTGCAGCACATTCCACAGCTTCGCAAGGACCGGGGCCAGTAGAGGTGTCATGATGGCAATTACCAATTGCCAGCTCAATGTTCGGCCAAGAAATGTGTGTGGTGGACCTTCCGCTTCGATGGATGCTTTTGCATCTCGCAAACGAGGAATGTTCTGGTATCCTTTTTGACGCCATTCTTGAGCAATCAGAAAATCAACTCGGCGGAGCAAGCTGACGTAGATGTCGTTTACTTTGATGCACAACCACGACAAATACACAAAACATCCACCAAAAATTAACATTGTCAGCACATCATCAGCAGCAAAAACCATCTGGATATACTGGGTGTCTGTTGGATAATAAAATAAGCCCACCATCAAACGTATGCCAGTGGCCAACATGACCAGTCCACAAGACGTGAGCAAAGCATCCAACCCGAATTGCTCATCAAGGAAGTCTGTTCGAATGAAGTGCCACTCTTCCCACCATGTCTTTTCAAAGCCTTGGAAATGCGGCATTTCTCCAGACAATTCTGATGAAGGCAAAGGAGCCCAGCTTGCTGAAGTGGCAAATGTCTCTGTGATTGCAAGAGGTTTCTCTGACAAAGTCTGGTCGGGCAAGGTTCGCTCTACAAACCGTTCGAGTATCTCCAGGTTGCCAATCACCATGAAAATTTGCTCAATAAAGAATCTGGAAATCCGATGCAGGGACACAGAGGCAACAACAAATGAAACTGCTATCGCAACCAACAAAAAAGAACTTGTCGTTCCCAGGAAAAAGTTAGACAAGCCAACCGTCAACGCCTTGCATAAAGCTACTCCCGCTGCTAGTGTGATCGACAGCAAACAAAGAGAAAGACCATCATATGATTTAGGTTCTTCTTTGCTGATATCACGACTTGTGGACCGAGCTTGTGTTTCCTTCTGAACTTGTACATGATGCTGTGCCTCCCTAAGGTAAAGACTCAATGGAAATACCATGGCACTGATTTGGTAAGAGGTCGGTGAGATGAAGTCGATCCAGTTGAGGATTCTTGTGTGTTGAATGCTCGAGCTGTTCAAAGTAGCATATAGGTTGAGCGGAGCCATGACAGCCTGCAGCAAAACATTGAATGCAACCCAATACAAGAGGCACCGCAGGTCTTGGGCATTCTTGTAATATACTGGACCACATGCTAGAAAGTATCCAGCGGAAAAGGATCCAATCACAGGAGAGTCCATTGTCACGATTGCCAAGAGCTCGACTGCAAGTAATCGAGTCATACTCCTCAGACTGAGTTTCGTGGGGCGACTAAACCTTTGAGTCAACGCCCCACAAATCAACGCAACGGCGTGGAAAGTGATCAACACCACCAAGGCCGGATCCATCTTTGCTGGCCAGGCCAAGGCAGCTATACAACGAAGTGAATTGTCTTGGATGAAAAAGGTTGCTCCTGCGCTGCTTAGCTTGCAGTTGGAGTTTCCACTTAGAATGTTCAAGTCGGGGTTTCAAGTGGCACTGCACGCTCTAAGACTCGCTAATTGTTCACCAACCGGCCCAGTTCAGAATGAGTGATTCGTCCTGCTTCTATTCTGCTCAATCTCTGTTCTGCTGAGCCCAAGTTCGGCTGCAGCATGACTCATGACGGTTCTTGCTTCTGCTCGGCATCCCTCTGCTCATCACTAAACCCACTGGGGCCATGACGTCGCTGGGCGTTGCGCAGCGGAGTCTTTGGTGCATCCGCCTGCGTGCCAGGGCTGCTGAGGGCTCGACGGAAAAGTAGACGGAATGATCCAAAGTCCCAGAAGGTATTCGGCTGAATATCCGGAGGACGCATGTGATTGTGTTCAGTTCTTTATGCATCTGTCTTTTCTTCTTCCCCTTCTTTCTCTCTTCCTTCCTTTCCTTGCTGCTTGTCTTTTGGTTTACCTGCCCTTTTCTCGTTGCTTTATCTGTCCTTTTCGCAGTCCTTTTCTCTTGTCATTTTTGCTTTGCTTCATCACCTGTCCTTTTCTCCTGTGTGTTTCTTTTCTTTTTCCTTTTTCAGTCCTTTTTCTTCACTAGATGTCACTAGTATAGAACAGGTGTAGGTAGCGAACACCTTTCGATGGGGCAGGGACGAAAAGGGGACAGCGATTCGTTGGGAGGTCTCAAAGGAAATGGTTGCTGACTGTAGTTCCAACAAGAACTGAGGCCGGGAACATGATGCGCAACCTGATAGGTAAGACCATGAGGTCACGGACTCATGATCGTGTTCAAAGGTCTCCCCCGCAAATAAATTAGCAACAAAACACAACGTTTTCCGGCCAAGTTGGGCGTTTTGGCCAGTTCTTGGTGTTTTAAGTTACCAAGTTTTGGAGTGATCTTCCCTGGACTTAGCATCCTTCGACTTCTCTCCCCAGATCCATTTTGATTGATATCACCTCATGCCTGTGGGCTGCTTCTGATGACGCCGGCAAATGCAACATCTCCTGGCTGTGACCAAGCAGCTGGTATGGAGGAAAGAGATGTGCGCTGCACACTCGGTCCTAGGTCAAAACTCAGCCTGTACTAGGACCACAAGGGGCGGTTAACGGTTAACGGAGACCCAATCATCTCTAAGGGGCTATTTGTAGACACCCCGAAGCGCTCCAAAAGATTTGAACGACGCGGCTCACTGAATCCCAGGGTTTGATCCCAATGTGTGTTCCAGTGTTCCATACTTTTGCATAATGTAGACTCTTGATTAATAAACCGCCCCTTTGAAGAGGATTTTCAATTCACATGTGTGGGGAGTATTAATCAAGAGTCTACATTACTTTTGCATGACATAGATGTGTTCCAACTTTAGTTTGCTGATTTTGTTGCTGCGAAAGCAAACAAAGGATCTCACCCGAAAAGGCAACAACTCCATAACCACACGCACATAGTGGAGATGCCTGTGATGTGGACAAAATGGCTCACAACAGGTCCAAACAACTGTTTTAACATGTTTTAACGAGAAAAGGGCCAGCAACTTCCGTCGGCGATGATCTAGCAACCAAGACCGACAACGAGGGTGTGGTGCGAGGCACATGAAGGCAATGATCCAAGGAATTCTGAATTTATCCACTTTCTCCACCGGTACAATGCTTGTAGGGGACTAAATCCATGCATCTCTTCCCTTTACACTCCATGTTCCTTGTCAATGTTGATTGATTGCTGGCCTGGTGTTGGGTTGATTCCTGACAAAAGTCATCTATCTCGTCGTGTTGTCCAGATCAGTGCCACGTGTGCCTTCCTGGGCCAAGCGTCGAATCACGTCGTGCCTTCCTCGTGCGTCACCGCAGAGTTAGGGGCAACGGGAAACGAAATTTACGGAGGTTCCAGTCCAGTTTTTGCTGGAGGTCAGCAAGCGCCTTTGATGATGGGGAATTTGTGCTGGGATGATGACGGGTGATGAGGGACGGATGCATGTTGTTTTTGAACGTGTTGATTCTTGATGATTCTTGAGGGTGTTGGACGATGAGATTCCCAATAGGTAATCGAAGCGCCATACATGTGCCATTTCGGTTGCCCATGATAGATGTCACTTCATGTGTGGTCGGCAGCTGTCAGTGGCCAATGCGACTAGAGCAATATATGTTTGTTACCATGAAGAGCGCGATCTAAAGAGGCGAAAGTCCAGCTGAACAGCAACTGGTCAAGCTGCTTTGTTCACCTGACAAGACAACATCGTTGGGTGTGTATTAAACTACAAAGACCTCCCACTTCGACCCCCTGGAGAAAGGACAACAACACACAAATAATTAATCCAATGCCAAATGGTTGAGGGATTCCCTATTGAAAATACGCAGCATCTCTAGGGCCGTGGAAAGCTCCGCTTTCTGCACGTTTTTGTGCAAGTTGCCAACACATGACGACAGATTTTGTTTTACCTGGAATCACTCACCTTTTCCGCATTCGCCGCGAAAGCGTCAAGCCAACATATGTCTGGCGATCAAATTCCGATGTATCTGATGTATCCTGCATCGAAGCTGTGCGAAGCTGTGCGAAGCTTCGGGATGAATCAATCAAGCGTGGACATCCGATGCAGCTGCACAACCCCTGTAGGAGTTCCTGTCGGGTTCCATGTCGGGCTGGCGATGATTGGAGGGTTCGGGGCGAACCTGAGTGACCTCTATTTGCGATCACCAACCAAGGTTCTCTGCGCTCAAATCAACTGTAGCTACTACAGCTCGACCACAGACTTTTGTTGTTCTTTAATCCTATCAAAACAAAGATCAAAAATGGTCAAAGGAGCTCTAGGCTCTAGGTATCAACCCTGGACGGAAGCAACCCTGACATGGAACTTCCATGTTGCTTTCCAATCCGCACTTTCTCACCATCCGATGGTCCTGAAGAAGGCACGGCTTTGGGCAATAAGCTGCTCCAGTCTCCAGAGGCAGCGCACGGAACTTCCTGCCGATGGCGAGATGAAGATCCACCCGGCCAAACGAAAAGGAACACATGCCAACATGTCTTACTTCCACAGTATGAGTGCTTCGTGGACTGGCCCTGAACAACCGAAAGGCTTATAAACACATACAACACTTCCTTAAAGCTTATCTTCCTTGTTGGTAGATATACGAGAGATGCGTTTTCCTAGCATGACACCAAGAGGCCTGGAAGCAGACGATTCAGCACACAGTTCTGGTGTTTCACCTCAGGCAGCGGCGCCCTTGGCCACGGTGAGTGGGATGATGTTGGATGATCTCTACTTTCCATACAAAAACAGGCAGTCAAAAAAACCAACAAAATACAACAAACAGACCATGGATCCCAAAAATACCTGAAATAGAGGAATCGAGGTCAACCAAAGCTTTGATACGCAGTCGGCTGAGCCCTTCAGTCCATCAGTCCCTTGAAAGCAGCCACGGGCAGCCCAGTGAGTAACAAGCTGTGATAAGCTGTTCTTGAATGGCCTTGGGCAGAACCTCACGGCGAACAAAACAGCAAACAAGTGAACAACTATACAACCAACCAGCCAGCCAACCACTTCAAACCCACCTGACAGGTGGCCCAACAAGGCTTTGCTTCGATTTCTTCTTCACCGCGGACGTCACTCCGGGCGGTGAACGGGTGTCCAGTCCACTGGGGGCCGCACGGCACCGCACGGCACCGCAGTGGCCTGTCGGTTTCAGCACGCGCCGCGTCCGGCGCCGGTCGTTCTTTTTATTGAAGCGAGCGACAGGAGTCGAGCGAGCCAGAAAAAAACAGCGACACGGGTAGAGAAGTCTTCAGGATGGAAGCGTCTTCCACCGGTGGATTCCGAAGACACGTTTCTGCCTGGGACATATTTGGAAAGGATGTGAAAGGATAGCCGGATAGCCTCTAACTATACGAAGATGTTAAAAGTTGAAAGAAAATGTCCGTGTCAAGGAGTGGAAACGTTTCACTGTCATTGTGACACCTTTCGTTGCCCAAAGTACTTTTGCACAAACGCGCGGGCTTGTGCTGCCCCAAATTGCAAGTGATCCTAGAGCGTTCTAGGCTCTAGGGCCTATAAAGGATCATTGAGTGGGGACCTGCTACCTACAAGGATCAAAGCAAATTGTTGCACCATCTGCGCTGGGATTTGCAAAGTCTATATGGCCTCTCTCGTCACGTCGTGCCTTCTCAGGCCACAAATGGGCCACACGTGGCCACACATACAAGATCATATGAGCATATATGAATAGATATATATATAACTGTTATATATATATATACGTGAGCATATGTATGAGCACTGAAATAATGAGCATATATATGAGCATATGTATGAGTACTGAAATAAATAGTACAGTATGTCTATAGCAAGCCATGTGCCCAAGAGGTTCATCTGTTGGCACCTTCGGCCTTCAGGACTTCAGCCTCTTGGGCTCGCGCTCCTGGGGGGGGCCGAGCAAAGGACGAGGACGACGCCGGAAAGAGAGCACCACTATGATACCATATCACGTTACGAAAGAACACAAAGCACCAGATTATGTATAGCTGGCAACAACTAGTTGAAAGAAATATGTAATTTCGCGACATCTATATATCATGGGCGGCAGAAATGGCACATGACTGCAGGATAGTTACTTTGATTCCCTGAAATGTAGTCGTCTCACACCAATAGGAAACAAACGCAAAACAAACTCGGTCCATCATCATCCCTTGACTCATCATCCAAACATGCATGGATTAAATCTTCTTATATATAAATCCCACCACCATCAAATGTGCTCCTCAAGCTACAGCAAAACCAAGCAAACACTGGAGCTCTAGTTTCCTACAGCCTATCGCACCTATCGCCTCATGAAAACAACTTCCTCCCAAACATCCCTCCCTCCGAGCTTGTTGGTGTGTGTTCTGTCTTTTTCTGACTTTGCCGAGGCGCTCGATGGTCCATGGAGATCTGGAGGATCTCACGGATGTTGGAGCGTCCATCTTCAATGACTTCTTCCACTACCACGTGGAAGCCTTTGGAGCGCGCGTACTCCGCGAAGGATGCCTTCAGTGAGACACACAGGGTCGGGCGGAAGCCGCGTGGAGATCGCGGTGCGAAGAGTGAGAGAAGGGGGGCTGGCAGACAGGGAGCCGAAAAGCAAGAAGAGCCATGGGTTGGTCATGTGGTGCTGCAGGGGTTGGCTGGTAAGTAGACCCAAGCAAAGTCTTATCTTCCTGCAGTGGGGGGTGGCCAGCCCTATTGACAGGCATCTGATTTCATCGATTTATGTAATTCCAATGGTTCTTTTTGTTGGCCCTAAAACCCCCGCGTCGTCTTGATGCCTTGATGACGGCGTTTGGCCCCAACGCCGATGTTCCAAGATGGGCCCGATGTGACCCAGCAGTGCGGTGGTGCGCGGAAGTATGCTATACAGTGGACCCATTGAGCTCCACCTCGACGGCCAACCGGCCTGGTACAGTCCCAACCGACCTGGCTTCTTTGGGACCAAATACACTCCTTGAAATGACGAAGCTGCAGCATGCTGCAGCTGCATGGTGGCCCAGGGCTAATCATGGATGCGCACGATGGTCCCTTGGATAACAATGGTCCTCTAGAGAGAAACAGGTGGTTTTCCACTTCCATGATATTTTTTCAGGTGTGCAACCGCAAACGACCGCCAACGCATCTACGCCGCCCCCCTCCAACCCTCCAATGACCCACACTGCTGACACGGTCGGTGCGTCCGAGCATCGGTTCCACCACCACAGCCGAAGTAGAAGCGCTTGCCCGCGAAGTAGGCGCGACCTCAAGCTCGTTACAAAGAGGAAAGAGGTACGAATAGACTCCCTGAAGCAATCATGGAAGTGCAAAACGGCCCATTGGATGACCATGTTGCTCTAGATGGCCCGATGGTGGCAACCACTTCCATGTTGACACGGAGTGACGTAGTATGTGTGTGGAATCCTTCGAAGGCGAAAGAGCTGCACATCGGCCCAAGGAGGTTCGAAGGCTGTCACCCCGCTCGGCTCTACCAAGGGAAGTCGGCCAAAATGCTTCGACCGAACGCAGGAATGCAGGACTTCGACAAAGCCGCCTGTCATCACATCGGGAGCAGCGAACGAGCCCGTGAACGGCGCTTCGCGTGGCAACGATTCACCTGGCGACTTGCTGGGACGGATGTTGGAGGAAACCAAGCCCAGAAAGCCCATGGATATGAACCATGACAGTCATGATACAATGTTTTAGATTGTTTTAGGAGGGACGGGCCACGGATCACCTGCAGAACAAATGAGCTCCCAATCCGCGGCTTCCGAGCGGCATTGGCAGCTTTGAGATGCCAAGATCTCCAAGAGCTCTTGATAGGACTCCTCCTGGTTCGCGAGTGAAGGACTTCAGAGGCAAAGACAACATATCCGAGCAGAAAACCTTGGGGCTTTAGAATATCTCCATTGCCATACCTAGGAGCTCATTCCGGCCATTCTGCTCGAACCAAAACACCTCTGACATCGGCACTTGGCGGGCCGTTACCCGAAACGAAGGCGGCCAATGGCTGATTGGACTTGGGTGTTTTTGATCACAACCCCATCGGAGTGGGTCAAGCCTGTGTTCCGGCCTGAGGGTGCCAGTCTTGCCTTCGGTTTGAACTGCCAGCCACCCAGCTGTGTCGTTGCACGCTGGCATTGTTTGACATTGGCATGTAGTAGTGTTTGGGATCAGGATCAGGACGAGCAGGAGCTGGATTTAAAAGCTGGCTACATGTCAAGCAAAACAACAACAACAACAACAAAAGTCGGGCTGTTTTGCAAAATCTTGGAATTGCATGAGAAGGCAAAATATCGTGCACTCCGGTGAAATATCACGAGAAGCGGGATGTTTACTTCGCGAAGCAAAACAGGTGGCGGATTCACTGAAAGGGCGGTTTCTCTTGTATGCAGCATACAATGCATGCTCTGATATGCTATGTAATTATCCACAATGCATATCAGTTTGCAAACATCTCTCAGCCGGTTCAAATCTCTGAAAGGACACCAAACGGCTAGTACTTATATTGAGTTTTCTGATCCCCCCACAAGAGGAGGGCTAACTAAAGAAACATGCATGGATGTTGAATGATGTTGATAAATTTAACCAAAATTATACCAAAACAACCTGCAAGCTATTTTTTTGTTTGAAGGCAACATTATTCTGTGCAAGGGAGATCTTAGGAAGGACTGCGGACAGAATAACTAGAATTCATGAGCTCCCAGGTACGCGCTTGGTATTTACTCCGACAAAGGAACATGCCGTTTCAAAGACATGCAAAAACACTTGGACACGCCCAGGTGTTTTGTGCTGGGTTTGCGGATTGTTCTGTCTACAAGAGCTACGATATGCAAGGATGACTTCCAACGCTGCAGTATTGAATTTTGTTCTACATCCGCTTGGCCCCGCTGTGCTGCCCGGTCCACCCGAACCCAAAACTTTGACCTTGTAAATGGCTTCTGATGCCAGGATTACGTCGTAGTCGGCCTCGCGCACCTCACGGAAACGCTATTAGGGGCTCTGCTTTGTTGGTGGCGATGGTGAAGCGAGCAGGCTGAAATCAGTGGCTGAAAACGAATCGATTGACAGCAATAAAAGACACAACTGGAAAACAGTCAACACCTGGCTTATACCTGGATCTTCAAACGGCACAAATTTTTGCCGGAGGCATTTTTTAGTGAAAAGACGCCGTAATCAAAAAAACATGCCGTTTTATGGGTTGTACAAAATCCATGGACGGGGAAAGACGCCGTTTGGACGCCCAAAGACGCCGTTTGGACGCTTAAAGACGCCGTTTCTTTTTGCTTTCTGCCGGCGTGCGCCTCGTCACAACAAAAAACGCCGTCTTTGGAAAAAGACGCCGTAACGGCATTTTTTCCTGAAAAGGCAATTATTTGTGCCGTTTCGAAGATCCAGGTATACAGTTGATTTTGTTCACCTTCGTTTTGACCTGTGTTTTGCGGAGTTCCAGGTATAGCTCAAATCAGCTGTAGCTAATTACTACAGCTCGACCACATATATATACATATATGTGTGTGTTAATCCCATGCAAAACAAAGGTCCCAAACATGGTAGGAGCTCTAGGTATCAACTTGATCAACCCTGGACGGAAGCAACCCTGACATGGAACTTCTATGTTGCCTTCCGATCCGCTTCTATTCTCACCATCACACGGCACGGAGGCCTTGGGCAACAAGCTGCTCCAGTCTCCAGAGAGGAAACGCACGGAACTTCCTGCCGATGGCGAGATGAAGATCCACTCGGCCAAACAAAAAGGAACACATGCCAACATGTCTTCGAGAGTTCTGGCAATTTGTCCTTTGTGGACTGGCCTTAAACAATCACACGCTCTAAACAAAAACGAATGACACCTCCTTGTTGGTGGACTTTGGTCGATTATGAGTTGATATAGAATAGAATGAATAGAAATACAAAAAAGAAGGCTGAAACCTGATAAAACGGTGTAAAACCTTTTGTACCTACACAAGGTGGTACCTACACAAGGTGGTGCGGTTTGCGGTTTCCGGTTTCCGGGGGGCCAACGACGCCTTCGAGAACCCCCGCCTTCCAGGCCATTCAGCGCACAGTTCCTGGCGGTGACCTCCTGTAAGGTCTCTTCACCTTGGATGGCCCATGGATCATGCAGATCCCGTCCCACCGCGGTGTCTCGAACATGAGTCTAGCTTAGGTGTATATATATAACTATATGTATATATATATATATGTCGTATATATATGACTATAATTAACTATATATATATATATCAATAATATATATATATATGTTGAATATATAATGATATATATATATATCCCATTCCAAGGGCACAGTGAATGATGAGCGATTTAGTAAAGACCAACATCTCAAACATGTACTTTTGACATCTGTTTATCGACTGTTACAGGCACAGTAATGGGACACACCCTATAGGTCTCGCAAAAGGAGTGGAAACAATGGAAACAACATCCCATTTTAGGATGGCCTTGCAAACGTCGTGAGGCGACCAAAACCAGCAATCAAGTGAACAAACTATCATAATCAACCAGCCAACAAATCTGCCAACGTAACCACATCTAAGAACCAACCACAATAGCCAGCAAGCCAGCCTCCCAATCACCGACTACCAATTCAATCACCGACCGAAAACTCACCCCTCTTGTCTAAACTGACAGCTTCAGACCCCACCATGTTCAACCTTTTAAAAATTCAACGCCATGACACGCCCGCAAAAAAATACAGTACGAAGCCGATTCCAAGGCACCCCTGGATACCTCCAGACGCCCGGCCGCCGCACTCTGAGGACCGAGCTCCAGTCATGGAAGTCCACCGTGGCGCGCCAGGCCAAGCCGCAAACGAGGCCCGGCACCCCGTGGCCACAGCCGAGCTCCAGGACCCTCGGTCCAGTCCATTCTGCAGGACCTCGGTGGCGCCGTCATGAGCAGCTTTTGGTTTCGGAGTCCGTTCTGAGGAATGAATAGCTGGGATGACTAGTTGGATGAATAGCTGAGATGTGCAAAGCAAGGATAGCTGGATAGCCAATGACTACTCCAATGACTATATGATATACTATGATACAAATGCAAGGAGATATCTGTGTCAAGGAGGAGCGGGATTGTTTCACGGTCCTGCTGCCCTGATGCTGCCCAATGCAAGTTATCAGAGCTTACCAAGGGATCATAGGATAAGGACGGTCACATCATGGGGTAGAACCGAATTGAAGATATTGAAGTGCAGAACGACTTTGAGATCGGCTCCCAGGTATCAACACCTGGGATCTGCTTCCGAATTGTGATCCAAAAAGTATCACAATTGAAGCTGCAACACTGAGCAAACTTTTTCAGCCTCAAACATGCTTGCTTTCTGCAGCTACACCAAGCTCACCGAAACTGCTATGCTATCACCAGGACGGAAAAGGGATACCACAGGAAACAAATCTTTGTCAGGCAGCTGATGCTTTGGTCCAAATCGTTCCACACCCTCATAGCATTGCATGCTATGCTCGTCAAGGCCAAGCAGAATCGCCAACTTTGCTCCAGAGTTCCACTGGTCACCTCCTAGATCTGAATGATGTGTTCTCTCCGCTTGCATGCACACATTAGTGCTCATCCCTCCATGATACAACCCGAAGAAGTGGGCGGACTGCCCTGGATCTATGTTCAACACCATGTCTGCCAAAGCAAGCCCCAGGCCCAAGGCGAACTGCCTTTGGTGGATCAAAAAGCGCATCAAAATCAGTCCACCTCCTTGAAAAGGATGCTCCAAAAAGATGCTGCTGGCGCAACCACTTCCGTGCAGATCGGCTGGGAGGTCGGACTCCAAGGGCCATGTCACCTGTTGCCCCTCGCAAAGCTCGGACCCTCGGGGGACCGTCCGGTCGCCGCTGAGGTAGGCGGAGGTGGGAAAGTGCTCGAAGGTGACCTGGGAGCGGCTCGAAGTGAACGAACATGTGAACGTAGTACGCCAGTCTCAGTCAGGGTGGTGAAAGCCAAGCACATGGGTGATGACACTGAGAAACCACATATATCTTTAAACTTCAACTCCTAGTTTCAATTCCCTCTAGAATCTTTAGAAACTAGTCTAGGGACTCCAGGAAGTAAAAACAAGTGATACAACTTGGAACGGTGACGCTCGAGGATAAAGTTGTCAACCGCATTGGGTGTAACACTTTGGGCTTTCCAAAGTCATACACTACGGGAGAGGATCCTCCGGTGCTGGAGAGGATCGCCATGATTTCGGTGGATCCTTCGGTTGCAAGGTGAAGCTGCATATCCATCTTTCTCATGGGCTGACTTTGTCCCGCAGCCAGCAATCGAACCTCTGAAGCGCGTACACTCTTTTGGTCGGCAATCACGACACAAGCATCGTAAAGCGTTGCTTCTTTGCTCAGACGCACCTCAAAGTCACTGCCGTCTACCATTGTTATGTGGTAACTCACCGGCCCAGATTCAGCTTCGTCAATGAGACTTGGAGGCCCCGATTCCAGCAAATCCAAAGCATTTCTGATAAGCTGCTGTTCGTGTGGCGACAGCGATGCCACTGTTGCCGCTACAGTGGTAGGGCTGGCAGCTTCAAGTTCAGAAGAAAGCTTTCTCCACGTTCCTTCAAGAGCGAAAGGAGCCAAGGGACTGGATGTAAGGTCGGAACGATCTTGACGTTGAGCGGCGCACATGTCCACAGACCTTTGAGTGACAAGTGCAAGCCTCCAACGACTCTAACATTCTTGACTTTGAGCTGGAGCGCGGCGATTTTGAGTGACCCATTTCAATTGAGTCTCTTTGGTGCCATGTTCATGCGTCTTCATCTGAAGTGACATAATATATATATATAAGTGATGATACGTGTATCTATACAATATGGTCCAATCTTTTTTGGGGAGCGACCTCAAACAAAACAAACGCGGAATTGATTCAAAAAAAGGCCAATCACGGGCGGTCATGTCCGCATCGGAACCGCATCGGCGAAGCACATGTTCTTCTTTCGTGTGAAGGAATCACATCTTTGGAGGTTGACAAAGGGAATGTCTGAAAAGGTCTTGGCTCAACACACACACACAAAAGAAACCACATCCTCCAACAGGTCGAACGAGGATTCGAGGGGTTGGGAAGGATTTGGGAAGGGCCCTCGCAGATCTCAATCGGTGACCTGTTGGAGGATGCTGGCATATCTATTATATAGTAATGATAATCAATCGAATATTTATACATATCTGGAAGGCTGGAAGGGAATGAGTTTGTGAACCCCCGCAGTCAGTCACACCGAACATCGACCTATGTGCCTATGTGAGGCTACACAATCTCCATTGAACAAGTAGTCAAACCGGTCGCGTTGAGTCAGTTCCAGTCAATATGAATATATGCCCACACCATCCAGGGGACCGGAATATTTACATCACATCTACCCGAAGACACTTCCCATCCATGGAATCCATGGTCCCGGTCACTGTTATGTGACCATATATATATATGCCACAATAGATGGATTTTCAGGGGACACATATATTGTGGCATACATTGATGGATGGAATACATAGATGTGCCATATATCACAATGCATACACAAATATATAGATGGATCTTCTCATCGCTTTGAGTGGATCACAGCATCACCCCGTCGACCGCATCGACCACACGGTCCGTCTCGACCGAGCGGCAGGCTCTCCTGGGGTCGGTGAAGGGTCGGTGAAACCAGCCAGGTGACCCCGACATGAAGGTGCTGGTAGAATGAATATAATAGTACTTAACATGTACTTAAATATAATATACATGGTTGAAACACACTCTTGCACCAAGATAAACTTTCCGGTCATCAGCTGCGCACTAGGGGCTCCTGGCCGTACTACTAGGAGCAAATAGCTATATATATATATATAGGAACAAGAAGCTGCGCAATGGCGCATCCTTGCATCCTTAGTTTCACCAATTTCAGCTGGACCGGTGGAAAATAACCCGCACTCGGGCACGCTTGGTTCAACAATAACAGTTCTGGATTCCAGAGTTCCACATACCTTACATACCTACATATCCAGGTAACATCTTAAAACCTCAAGTATCCGACATACTTCCTGTGGGAGTACTCAAGAGGTCCACGGGTCCATGAACACAAAGCATCAACTCCTGAGTCCCAACTCCTCAATCCGAACCAGATCCTCACCACGTCCAGGCCTGCTCAAGAAGCTTCCCAAATCCAATGAAGCTTCCCACAGCAACGCCCCGGACCGCTGATCCACACTGCCGGGATTCAACCCCTGAGCGACGCGAGGCGCTCGGCCAAGCTGTGCCGTCTCCGGCCCCGAAAGGACCTCGCGAAAGGACCTCGCTTGAGCAGTGACAGCACTTGATTTGACGATTATGTACCTGGAACCCAATTGACCCCTGTTTTGATAGGAAGTTTGGCCATGTTTTGGGTGGTTGGTGGTCCACAATAGAGGTCATTCAGGTTCTAGGTATATACGTGAGATCCTCAAACAAAGAGCGGCAAGGACTCGGACTAGCATGAGGACCTGTCACGAATGGAGTGAACAGGGATTTTCCGCTATCTTCGAGGCTTCCCAGAATGTAGAAATGTTGACAAACAAAGAAACACCATAGGAAGAGCTTTTGTATACATGTGTTTTCACTCCATGTCTGGGGCGGTTTTAGTTTCATCAACCTTCATCAACCTTCTACATGACTTGAATCATCAATCCAATGGAAGAGCTATGAAGAGCATTGTCATCATCGTCGATCTAGGCCTAGAACATCGGCGATACACCGCAGCTGTGCCTCATCTGCGTCCTTCACCACTTCCAAAGGCGTCGGGGTGTTCTCCAAGACCCGCACCGTTTCGCGCGAGGCGAGGCTGCGAAGCCCTGCATGGCTAACAAAAGAGTGGAACACCTCCATAAGACGCGATGTAAACATAGAACATCCAAACACCATTCTCTTCTTAAACATCTAAAAGCACCAAACGTTCCGAAAACAACTCCATAACAGCTCCATAACAACAGCAAAAAGAAGAGAACAAAAACATGGAAGAACTGAACGAACATCTTCATACAACACTACTTTCTTTCCTAACACTACAAAGCCTTACACTACACACCAAACACTACAAAGCCTTACAGTACAAAGCCTTTCAGTACTTTCTTTCTTTCTCCATAACAGTACAAAGCCTTACACTACACACCAAAAGAACAAGAAAACACCACCCGGGGGGCTGCCCGGGGAGCGCCCTACGCCCTACGCCCCGCCCTACGCCGGTCATCGAGCCTTCCAGATCGATGTGGACGAAGCGGCTCGTTCGGTCCAGCGAAGCGTCGGTCATGGGTCGCGGAGCATCGCGGTCGTTGGAGCGGTGTGGCGTCTGCGCGAGAACTCGTGGCGTCCATGGTGACGTTCTAGTGGTTTTTGTTTAGTTAGTTGGATGTTAGTTGGGTTCTTCTTATTTACATGTAGAAACCATGCACTGTGAATGCTCTGAAGGCAGATTAGAGGTGCTTTGCTGTGAGTTACTTGGCTTTGTTCATCTTTGTTCTACGACTGTCGGTCCTGATCCTCTCTGGGGATCTGGACGCAGTGCTTCTCCCGGACGCACCAAGTGCTTCGAGTTCCCGGCTGCTTCTCTTTCATAAACGCACACACACATATGGAAAATAGGGAGAAGCACTGGTGCACATGCAAATGCTGTGCTCCTGTTGCCTAAACGCATGGATCATCGGTCATATGCTGTCCTGTGGGATTCGGAGACCACTGCGGGTGGCGTTTTGAGCTGGGCGATTTCGAGTGCCCGCCTGGACGTTGGCCACGAGATACCCCTTGAATCCTCTCGATGTTTGCTTGCCAGGTAACCCCCGCTGTGGCATATGGTCGTTTTGCCAGGCTACAAGTTTGTAGGTGTGGGCTTAATCCTGCCCGTTAACATTTCACGGTGACCTTGTGCAAAACATGTTGTAGATATAAATCAGCGGGCGTAGATGTTGAGTCTATAGAAAGGGCGAAGGTCAAGACACAAAGGCTCTACAATATGGACGGGAAATGATGGTGTTATATTGTGTTTTGTGTTTAAATATATACAGATCGATCAGAGAAGACACGGCCCTCAACAAGCTGCTCTACAAAAGGCATTTCCAACCTCTCTAGCAAGCCAAGGAAAACGCCAGAAAACAATTTGTAAAGAGTGTACTGCAGAGAAGCCAGCATCACGTCTGTTGATGCCATGTTTAACAAGTAATTCTATAGTTAATTATTTACAAATGTTTTTGTTGTTTTCTGTTGTCATGCTTGGGCCAAAGCACAACTCTCTAGAAATTGTTTGTTTTCTATCTTAGGCTATCTTTACAAATTGATTTGCTCAACCCCTTTCACCGTGAATTCAGAACCAATTATTTCATCGATGAAATGATCGGGCGATATCGGGCGTAAGTTCTTTCAACTGCCTTGCAACAACCTAAAAACAGCAAGTTTATGCAGTTTTTACAAACAACAAAATGAAGGGTGTCTACTTTAATACTCACATAGGTTCTCTACAAACAAATGCCTCTATATGGGGTGTATGCCCACCAATTTCATAGAGGACATGTTAATCGGGACACTTAATCAGTTCATTGGTTTTGAATGGTTTATTGCGGACCTGTTTTTGTTTCCTTCCTGTTGCTTTCTCGTGATGCACTCTACCAGTGCCCCTTCAGCGACGAAGGCAGAGCTAAAGCTTGTTGCTTTCCATGGAATCACGATAATGCATGTTCATTTAATGTGATGGTGAGTGGCTTTTGAGCCAAACGTTTGCTGGAAAGCCAATCAAGATAAACCCAAATGAAATAATCGAAGTGGATGGCATGGATAAAACTGGCCCCTTGGATGATCACTGCAACCACTACAAACACCTGGTGTTCCCCCACTTCCATGATTCCGAGTGTATCCCCGGCAGCCATCCAAGGACAAGGACACGGAATCGATGTGGCTACGGCGATGAGGATGATGCCGATGCGGATAGGACGTTAGGAATCGAACATCACCTGTGCTGCTGCTCTCTTTTCATGCATGGTGTTTCCAACATTAGATATCGGCCTACATCAGCTGCCTTTCGAGATGTATTTTTGTTCGGCCCATCCATACTCCGGTCCCATTAAAACCGTACTAAGTCCTACTACGCCTGCATTGAGGTACCCAACCAACGGATGGGCAAAAAAGAGTGAACCGCAACATGCCCAACACACTTCGACTGGTGCCCTAAACCCGACCTTCCGACGGACATGACGCACATCACATGATGAACGAAGTTGGCCAGGTCTGACTGGGCGAGTGCAACCGATGTGCAATCCCCATGCGGCTCTCACCGGCAAGGCATCTCTCATGCGGCTCCGCATCGGCATCAAGACTCAAACTACGACATGTTTGCCAGGAGCTACGTTCGTAGCGTCCTTGCTCCGTTCGTAGCGATGCTCTTTGTTCCTAGTTACTTCTTGTTACTATATATATATATATCTTAGTAGTACCATGTAGTACCAGTAGTATGGCCAGGAGATGCCAGGAGCTACGTTCGGTTCTCGTCCGACTGCTACGGTGTGTCACTTCTGTCCAAAGGTCCCACATAACCACGACCACGGTCCTTTTTCGTGAACGATCGATCGAGTCTAGAGTCTAGATGGCAACATGGCTTGGCCAATGTGCCTTTGATTCCAGAGCTCCTCAGCCCTAGCGAATTCTCACCACTCAACTCCACAAAGGATGAATGGCAGGTAGAGGGGGCCTCGGAAGCATCGAACACATATGCACAAGGGGAAGATGGAGCACCTCCCCAGCCATTCCCTTGGGGTCAACATCACAGAAAGGGCTGGTATACTCGAAAGGAATTCCAGCGAGCTCTTGAAGTCTTGTGCGGAAGTCCAGTGACTGAGCCTGAGACCCATTGGCCTGAGGCCCCAGGTAGGCGTATGAGGTGGCCTTGAAGAGTGCAGAAAGAATCATCTGAACATGCTCGATCATGCTCCTTACTCCGGATAGAAGCCAGGATCCCATTTAGGGTGATTGTAAAACATGTCTTTGCCAACCACAAATTCCACATGTCTGACAGTGACATCATGTGACGTGTCCCGATCTCACGACGTGGATCTTTTTCACTCACCCTTTAGACCCACTTCAGCGGGACGATGGTGTTCGACAGTGTCTTCGACGTCGGGATGGAGTCGGATGCAGTGCAAATGCGCTGCACTAGGACTAGTCGGCTCCCTCGAGATTCTGTAGATCAAATCCAAAACAACATTACGGAAGCCTCCGGAAGCCGGATTTTTGTTCTGCTTTCGAGGCTCTGCAGAAAGGGATCTTTTCAGGTTCCCCCAAACCATGTCAAACAGATTAATGTGAACATCCATTTGGTGGGCACGGTATGCAAGTCAACAAAGGGGAAATCTGTCTTGCAATGTTTTGCATGTTGTTTGGGGACTCTTATTGAACTCGTGCTACATAGACGACGCATGCTATCCTTTCCCAACCCCCTACCAGCTTGGTCACTGGGCATTCCGGGCAGCCGCATCTGTCTTGGTGCGGAGGAAGCTCTGTGCATTGCTGCGGTTGTGAACACCCTGACCTGCTTCGGTTGGGCCGCAAGACAGGAGCTGGAAGCGGTGCCCATTACAGTATCCACTCACTTAGTGACAAAACAATCACCCCTTTGTGACTCCTGGTACACTCATCATGGTTAAATCTTCATGGTTACATGGATGGCACGGCACCGTAAGTTAGGACGAGGAGCCATGAAATCCGGAGACCAAACACATGCTGCCACGCACGTAACTATGATGAGTCCAGCGGCCCAGCATGGTGACTTGCATCTTGGATCCAGTGGGCTGATGATGATGATGATGATGATGATGATGATTTCACGTGGAGCTGATCAGCCCCCCAAGGTCGTTCTAAACCATGAACTGATCAATCTATAAACCATTAAATCTCAGCTACGTACCACTGAGCTCTCATGAGTCTTGGAAATGGAAAAAACATCCTCCCCCACTGAGCAGGCCCCACGTCCAGCAAAGGGCCCACCAGGCATTGGCCTCAAGGCACGACGTGTCGAGTTCCCGCAAGTCCTTGCAGTTTGTTACTGGTCTGTTTCTTTTAGAGAAGCTAGAAGGGTACGGAATGGAGAGGAATTAAGAAAACATTGCGTTCCATGAACAGGTGGACTCAGCTGTGGTAGTTTGCTCAATCCTTGTTTTGTTCCCGATGAGTGATGTTTTTGTGTTCTGAGTGAACTTTGGGCGAACAGGCGAACACAGAAAATGAACGGGGAGGATGCCAATCCAGCGATCCATGTAGGAAGAATTGGAACATCGATGCAGATTGAACCAAACCTGGAACGGTAGAACAAAATGAAAACCATCAAGGTCGATACTATATATAGACACTATTGGAAACTATCAAGTGCAACCAAGGGCTGACGTGTTCCTTGATATCCGATCCATGTTGTTTTGTTCTGATGAAGTTTGCATACCGCAGCATACCTGAGCTTCGAATAATTATGCTATGCAGAAGACAACTTTAGTCAATGTAGGGAGCGAATCCAACTCTGGCTGCTTACTCAGGTTACTCAAGAGACACTCCCGGCTCAGTATTTCCAAGTGGGAAACTAAAACTAAAAAACACCACCAGGATGTGCGACAGTCTTGTGGGCCAACAGCTCTGGGGCATACAATTTCGGCCAATTTCCACATCTGTTGGACTACAGGACGGCAGGACATCTCCCCCGCATGGCCCGGGACAAAATGCTGCGTGGTTCGACGACGACACCGGCGTTTCTCCCGAGATCGCCTGCACCCTGAGGGTGCTTGGGTCGCCATCAGAGGCGCCTTCTCAGCCTACGAGGGCCATGTGAACTGCAGCCACCATGAAAGGAGTTCAGGACTCTCCTCTCCTCTCCTCTTCTCTTGCGCTCAAACATGCCAGCAGGGCTTAGGTGCCAGAAAACGACAACAGTAAATTGGAAACCTCCGAATGCCTTGCAAATTATGTGGAAGATCGATTTGATGGGCTTGTCGAAAACTGTGCATGAGCTCCTGGATCTCATGGTGACAAGTACGAGCTGTGAAACCCAAACTCAGAAGTTGTCTTACTTCCCTCCCGTTGAATTGAAAACCTTAGAGCCCTCTGAAGACCTATATCCATGAGAGTGCGGCTGCTCAAAGAAGCCTCCAAGACCTATCCCAAACGAAGGGATGGAAGGGCGACAATACGACACGTGAGAAGGAACCCGACACTGCCCCTGTTCTGGCAACACTTATACAAAATTATACCAACACATTATCAGCCTAGATGGATAGATGGCCCAACAAGTGATAGATCTAAAACAAATGGCTTCACTGAACTCACAGGACTTCTTAGACAAGCACCCCTCTATATGCGCTATACATGTCAACTCTTCAGCTCGTCAGAATAATTTTCTTGTTTCTTGCTGGGCAAAGAGATGGTCCAAGCCGGACCCAACCACTTGGGACGAGCCAGGCCGAGGCGGTGGAAACACCGCGGAACGACGCAACCCGCCGGTTCCGGCCTGGTGTGGCAAAGAGTGGGAACGGCCTGACGGCTGCAGCGTGTTGTGGGGCTGAAAAAAGGCAGCGGTGACTGCTGAAAAGATGGAGTCGTGGAAGGGAAAAAACACCTCTAAATAACTGCTTGCCACAGTTTCAAGGATGTTCCCTGTGGCACTACGCCAAAGAGCAAATGAATGCAAATGAGATACGATTCCTTCTATTTCTATAAGCGGAAAGCGTCAAGTCAAGTGTAGCACTAGTCAGAGAAAAAAACATATTCGTATAAAGAAATCAAAACTGGGAACACAGCACTGCAATGTCGCACACCTCACAACAGGTTGGATGATAGTGGGGGCTAATTAACTTCAAAAACACATCCAACTCTCTCAAAATGATCCTTTCTGAACAGGCCAAGCTGACTTTCGATCACGGAGCTGTTCACCAGTCTTCCTAACCCCTCCTGGGTCTTCTGTCGCGTGCCTGCCGCTCTTCCTCCCACTCGCACTGGCCTCTCGGAAGACTGGTGAATCATCGTTTTGCAAAAAGAAGGGCCATGGGAGTTGTGATCCCCTAGTAGAACAACTCCACTCTACTTGAAAACCGACTGCAAACCAATCTGGAGACAGGGGGTGGACACCTCGCACCCACCGATTCATAGTAGACTGCAGAAAGTCATGCAGAATGGTCACGTTTTCTTCAAGAAACAAATCAAAAAATTGAGAGAGAGCAATCAATGTTGCTCGGACACAGGTCATGACCACAAATAATCGACCGAACAATCACTCGCTTTTGGAGCTCACAGCTGATACGATAGCTATGATTCACCCACAGAAATGCTTCCTTTGATGATAAAAGGATCACGGTTTCAACAACATGAGGAATCACCAACCCTCAACGACCATCAACGACCGACGGCCCAGTACAATAATCTCACAAAAAGAGTCTGCTTGTCTGGGGCTTCCGGCGATAAGACCTCACTGACCTGCGGCCACGACGACAAACATGGATCTTGACTGAATTGTTGAGGATTCTTCAAGATATTTCAAGATTATCCCACAAAATCCCTGAACACTTTTGCAATACCATTCCCAAAATGTCCCAAATAGGGATGGACACCTTGACCGATCATTAAAAAAACACACAGTTTGAGTGTTGACTCAGTCCTAACCAATGTTCACTTAGGATACTTAGGTATCAATAGGTCACCACTACAATTTTGGGGCCATGGCACACACTGTTAGCATCTGGCATCTTTTTCACAAGGATATCCTACAGAAGAGATCTCTATTAATCATTACATTCCAGTCTTTTGAGGATTTGGGCATCCTATGTGGTGTGCCTTTCATTGCCTTTCCATGTCGAAGGATCGGATCCTGAAAAAAAAAAAACATCAAACAAAAAGACAACCTTGAGTCAACCTTTGGATTCAGGATTATATCTTTGCAGAATCAAGTCCGGATGGTTCGCTTGCCAAACAAACTGTTCTCAACGGCCCCTTCCGCCATGGCGCGTCATCGCTGGCAGCGCCGCCCGGCGCCACCTCCGTCCTCCGTCCGCCTCCCACGGCGCCTCGGACGGAGCGGCGCAGGTGCTCCACGTGTCGCCGAGCCCCTGTGGGCCTCAGCGGAGAAGTTCTTCAACTGGGTGGAGAGGGGCTGGAGCGGAGAGTTGGAAAACCGGTGGTTGGCAGTTGTGCAGATCGGTTCATTTCATGTCCGGGGGTCGGCATCTGTGATCGGCGTGTATTAAAACAACAGTTCGAAGGAACGACCTGTCTACCCAGGGGCTCAGGGGATCTCCCTAAAGACACACCCAACTGGTCTACCGCTCGACCACGTCTTCTGGACACATCCTGCGCCGACGTGCGGGTGTCTTCTTCCACGCGGTGGGGGTGGCAGTTAGATGCGGCCAGTGTATGACGGCTACGAGGGGAAATCGTAGCTGCACAAAGTCTTCTTCTCTTGTAAATATGGTACCGGCCGCTGGTGTAACTTGAGGCAATCAAGGTAGTTGCATAAGCTTGTAATTCTATAATGATCATACATACGCACACCCATATCGTTGCCCAAGATGTGGCAAACACACGCATCCTGGTAGTTCTCACAAACCTTTGCAGCCATGACGCAAATGTCTCTCATCCTGAGACACCATAGACCCCATATTATGGACCCCAAACTAATCCCCAGGCAAAGCAAGTTTCCAAAATGCTGGCAATAGGTAATATGGTAAAACAAACATAAAAATGTATAAGAACCACACACGCACTAAATCACATTGATATTATGCATTCACCACCATCCATGGGCGGCTAGCATGAACTATCTCAAGGAATGGAGCACCTGGGATGAATGTGTGGAACGTGTGTCTATAGGTTCGTTGTGACGGTTCTGGCTGTCACCATAGTGTTGGATCTTCAATTACAGGATGCGAAGCAAGCAATAATGGTCGAACTGTGAATGCAGCTTAGATGTGTCTTTGGTATTTGCTCCTTTCCACTGTATAAGGGACTCCGAAACAGGTGACACAATTCATGAATTCACTAGCAGACCGGCTACGTAGATGACTTCAAGGTCTGGACCAGGAAACAAACAAGACCGCTGTGTTCCTTCACACAAGCCAAACCTTCTGAAGCTGCGGATCCCGTGTCCGCAAAATGTGACTCTTTTTGGCAGCCAGTGTGTTGCGACATGCGGCGGTGGAAGGCCCTGCAAAACGAGACAGAAGGGAAGCATGTTGTCAGGGTCACGGATGATCATGTGATCATGCAAAATCTAGCCATTTCATGAGCAAAGAGATACTTGTATAGATAGAAGGCCATATGGAAGAAGCAACATAGATTCCAATCTATTCCAACATCTTCTACCACACCTGTACAATTTGGCTACTCCCCAAGTAACTACTTCTTGGATCCGTACCTGAAGATGAAGGAATCCAGAAGTCTCATGGAATCATTGTGGTCTTCCAAGGAGCCATTGTCCAATTCCATCTTCCATCAATTCTACACGCGCTCAAAAATCCATAAGAATACTGTATATCATGTGTTTACTTGGATGGTGGATGGTGAATTCCGCCCCCTTCCCTTCCGGATGTGCCGTTCTTCCGGTCAGACCGGACCTCCTCGTCCGACGGTTTTCCATGCTTCAAAGGCGACGAAACGTCGAAGGCCCCGGACCGCCCCCCCTTCGATGTGAAGCTCGTCGAAGCTCGGAGGATCTGGGGTTCGATTGGATGGTTCGTTGGATGGTTCTAGCAGCTGTTTTCTGAGAGGCTGAAATGGATGCTCCATGCTCCATGCTCACGGTAAAAACAACATTGAGAGTCCAAAAATAGGAGTTGGAGATGTGTCTGTGTGGATTGGGAGAACTGTGTCCCTGTTCGTCTAAGGTACGGTGCCAGGGGGGTGCTAATGGGTGCCATCCATGGACACATGTGAGTTCCAGCCAGAACCACGGACCTGCTGATCCCCCAGCCTAGGTCACCTCGTCGGCCGCCTCCGCGGCTTCAACACCTTCGATGGGAACCTCTTGGCCCGTCGACCTGCAGGTCCCGCGGACCGTGCCCGTCGGTCGGGTGTCGGTTCCGAGGGCTCGAAGGGCAGAACGGCTGGTGCCAGAGTGGCGAGAAGGCGAGAAGCGGCGAGAAGAACTGGACTCCAAAAGTCCGGAGAATGGAAGGGTGGACCAATCTCAAGATTCTCAAGATCATCACACATCCTCAAGCAGTGTCACAAGTTGATGATTCTTTAGTGTCACAAGTGGGTCTTGGGCATCTCGGTGCCCAATAGGTCAGATGTTCCCACGTTGGACCCTGGGAGATGCAGAGTGGCAAGGGGCAGCCCTCAGGACAACTCATTCGATTGCTCTTTGGCACAGCCCAATAGCTCTGAAATGCAAGATAATGCAAGATCTTAAAGCGCCTAAAGAGCCAGGTCAAAACCATTCAAAACCACCAGAATTAAGGGTTTAGTTGGTATGGACATGCCAAAACAACTATGAACAAAGACCCTGGGTGTGTATTCACCAGCCCATGGGTTTTGGTCTGATTCTTCCAGAGGTTGTTTGGGAGGCATCCCAATACATGGCATGTTATACACCCAGATCATCCCAGATCAGTATAACTGTAGAATAAATAATCTATTATATAGATTGGGTACCGCATGGTACCACCATGTACACCCCTTGGACTCCTCCTCCTCGCCTCCGAATCACCGGGTCGGGCCGGTTCGGACTTGGAGTCGTCAACAGTTTTGGTATGTTTTGGCATTCCGAAGTACAGAGAATCGTCTGTGTTGCACCAATGAGTCTAGAGTCTAGATGGGTTTTGGGTGGGGGCATGTGAAAGGGAGGAAGGTCTTATCCACGATGCGTATCCAAGCCACTCTGAAAGCGAAGCAGCTGAGCTTTCTTCTCCTCCGGCAAGGTAATGTCTTGTTTTGCCTCAGCTACTGCCTCAGCTACCCCGGGCGCTGCCGGCAAACATCACCCATTGAAACGGCCCCGGGCGCCTGCACACGCCCTTCGCTAGTGGCAGGGCCAACAAATCGTGACCACAAGCAAACATCCATCTCAAAATAAAAGAATCCCCGGATCCCCCCGAATACTTCCTTGATATTTTAAAAAAAATTATATATATATAAACATGATACATGATCCTATCCAGTACCCAGCTGTCTGAGCGATCTTCCAAAACCTGATTGATGGCCAAAACAAGTCAAGGCCGATGACCTGAGTGTCCGAGTAGGGCTCCTCCAACTTCGCTTCGCCCTGAAAAGGTCTGAGACGAATGGACCAACAAAAGACCCTGCAATCACTGCAATCTGTCAAACCCCCAAACAACCAATCCATTGATGCACACGAAAACCAATGGAAACAATCTTACGCCCGAATAGGTCTATGATTCATTTTTAATATTCTATATATTGTCTATGTTTGGGGATCCTTGAACTGTTTGTCTCTCAAAACTACCCGACAAGGATACTGGAAGCACATGCTATACATCCAACAGCTGCAGCTGATGCCACTGGTGCTTATAGATAGGGAAGGAGAGGTGTACAGTATTACAGTACAGTACATCTCATGTAGCGGGTCAGCAACGCCCTCCACTAAGCCTGTAGTGCCAATCAAATCTGTTTGCGCAAGCAAGCGCAACGATAGCTGACCACTTTTTTGGGCGGACCGTCCGCGAAAACCTTCCACCTCAATTCAGCCCCCCAACACACACTCTGACACTTGTATTCAGTTAACTCAGTTACCACGGTGGGA